AGGTCTTCTTCTATTTCCTTTTTAAAGTTTTCCTTTTTAAAGTTTTAAAGTTTTATAGTTTTTGTCATAGAGGTCTTCCACATATTTAGTTAGCTTAATTCCTAGCTATTTAAGATTCATCTCCTCTATTTTTTTTTACTGTATTTACAATTTCTTTCTCAGCCGTGGAATTATTTGTGCACACTAGTGCCATAGATTTGTGTTCATTAATTTTGTATCCTGCTACCCTGACAAAGTCTCTTATGAGCTCCGTAGTCTCTTGACTGAGTCTTTTGGTTCTTCTATGTAGAGAATCATGTCATCTGCCAATAGAGATGATGATTTCGTTTCCTCTTTTCCAATTTGGATTCCTTTTTTTTTTTTTTTTTTTTTTTTTGCCCTTTGGCTGATTGCTCTGGCAAGGACTTCCAATGCTGTATTGAAGAGTAGTGGTGACAGTGACAGAACATCCTTGTCTAGTTCTAGTTCCAGATTTTAGTGGGAAGGCTTCCGATCTTTCTCCATTTGGTATGATGCTGGCATTGGGTGTTTTGTAAATTGCTTTGTGTTGTAGAATGTTCCATCTATGCCTATCTTGCTTAGGGTTTTCAGCATGAAGTTGTGCTGGATTTTATCAAATGCTTTCTCTACATCTATTGAGAGGATCATATGGTTTTTATTAGAAAGTAATGGTTTTTTAAGATTGATTTATTTGTTTGAAAGACTGAGTTAACAGGGCCCGGCGTGGTGGCCTATTGTCTAAAATCCTCACCTTGAGTGTGCCGGGATCCCATATGGCTGCTGGTTTGTATCCTGGCAGCTCCACTTCCCGTCCGGCTCCCTGCTTGTGACCTGGGAAGGCAGTGAAGGACGGCCCAAACACTTGGGACCCTGCACCCGCGTGGGAGATCTAGAAGAAATTCCTGGCTCCTGGCTCCGGATCGGCACAGCACCGGCCGTTGCAGTCACTTAGGGAGTGAATCATCGGACAGAAAATCTTCTCTGTCTCTCCTCCTCTGTGTATATCTGACTTTGTAATAAAAAATGGATAAATCTTCTAAAATAAAAAACTGAGTTACAGAAAGGGGGAGGCAGAGAGAAAGGAGTCCTCTGTCTACTGGTTCATGCCCTAAATGGCCTCAGTGGCAAGGGCTGGGCCAGGCTAAAGCCCGGAGCTGCTTCCGCGTTGTCCGTGTCCGTATGCAAGGGCTCAAGCACTGGGGCCCTTCTGCATTGCTTTCCCAGGCCATTAGCAGGGAGCTGGATGGGACGTGGAGCACCCATATGGGATGCTGGCAGTGTAGGCCATGGCTTTCCTACTGTGAGAAACATGGCCCCACGCCGTGTTTCCGATAGTAAAGGGTTCTGAATTTGTGTGGTAACTCTAATCTGAGTTTTCTGCTCTGTTAGCACATCTTTGTTTGAACTTGAAGAACTTTCCGTAGCATTTCTATAGGACAGGGCACTGGTTCTGAATTTCTGTTTTTGTGCATCTGGGAATATCTGTCTCGTCTTCCTGTTGCAGGATGGCTTTCCTGGGTGCAATATTCTGGTTGGCGATTTTGTTTTTCCTCATCATTATAGAAATCTCATTGTACTCCCTTCATTGTGCGGGAGATCCAGAAGAAGCTCTTGACTCCTGGATTCAGATGGGCTCAGCTCTGGCCCTAAAAATCAACGTGTGTGTGTGTGTGAAAACATGTGTGATGTTAAAAGTGGTTGAGAATCAAATGAACTACAGGAAGTGCCCCTGCTATTTGCATTGCAGTCAATGGCTGTTCTCTTCCCTAGCATCCGTCTCCTTGGTGGGCACGGGTTGAGGCTGCTCCCTTCCCTGGTGACCGTCTCCTTGGTGGGCACGGGTTGAGGCTGTTCCCTTCCCTGGCGAGAGTCTCCTTGGTGGGCACGGGTTGAGGCTGTTCCCTTCCCTGGCGACTGTCTCCATGGTGGGCCCGGGTTGAGCACTGAGTAGACTCAGGCAGAGGAGTTGGAGGAAGGATCAGTCAGGGGAACTTTAATAATCATATAAGTTGGTTTTACGGGTTGTAATCTAGAAGAGTTGCAAATGTACAGTGTTTTCCCTACAGGGTTTCTTGTGATTGGCAGCAGAACAGGAAGGGATGAGTGACCACAGGCCTGGCAGGTGGAGGGACAGGAAAGCTCACCCCGTCTCACAGGCCTGGGGCCAATGTCGGGGTGTAGCTCGTCGAGTTCTGCCTCCGGCACAGCACCCCCTGTGGGTGCCAGCTGCCCCACCTCCTGTCCTGTGGTCGGCTGGTGCACCTGGGTACAGTAGCAGCAGGTGACCCAAGTGCTTGCACCCCTGCACCCATGTGGAAGACAGGCACGAAGCTCCTAGTGGCTTGCTTAGGCCTAGCCCAGGGCCAGCAGGGGTGGCCATGTGGGGAGTGAGCCAGCAGATGGAAGGGTGTGTGTGTGACTCTGACTTTCAAAGAAGTAAACAAATCTTTAAAAAAGAAGAGGAAGCAGGTCCATCCCTGTTAGGGAGGAAGCCTGAGCCAGTTGCAGGACAGCTGTCACCAGGTGGACTGAGTGTGGCTGGAGCGTCGTCCCTGAGCACAGGGAGCTGGCTTTTCATCCTGTCTTGTCTGAGAATGGGAGGGAGGGGAGAGAGAGCAGCTTCTGCTGTAGGATCCCGCTGCAATAATAATGCCCGAAACATCTGAAGAAACGCAAGATCACGGCAGACACTCAGGAGAAGCAGATGCTAGAGCAGTCTTAGACATGGTCCACATTTGGAGGCCTTGGGACCTGCACACGCGTGGGAGACCCAGGTGAGGCTCCAGGCTCCTGGCTTCAGATCAGCGCATCGCCAGCTATTGCAGCCGCTTGGGGTGTGAATCAATGCATGGAAGATCTCTGTCTCTCCTCCTCTCTGTATATCTGACTTTCTAGTAAAAATTAAATCTTAAAAAAAAAACTTTAAAATAAATATAATGAGTATATTAACTAAAAACAGGAGAAAAATGACAAAAAATAGAAAAAATTCAAAAATGAAACATTTGAAATCGGGGCTCACTGAATAATATTAAAGTCAAGTAGAGGAGACCAGCACCACGCCAAAATAGATTCAAGCCTCTGGCACCACACGTGCACCATTTTGAGTCCCAGCTGCTCCACTTCTGGTCTGGCTCCCTGCTAATGTGCCTGGGAAAGCAGTGGAACCTGGCCCCGATCTTTGGGCTCTGCACTCATGTGGGAGACCCAGAAGAAGTGCCAGACTCGGCCTGGGACCCCCCAGCTGTGACCATTGCAAACATTTGGAGAGTGAGCCAGCAGATGGGTGACCCCTGTCTCCCCCGCCTCCCCAGCCTCCCCCTCTCCTTCCTGCTCTTTAAGCCAGGCGTTTAGCCTAGCAGCCCCCGTGCCTGTGGCCGCGACTGTCCCACACCCGGGGGCAGCTCCTGATCCCCTGGCACCGCCGGGGCAGACTTGGACAGTGTGGGCCCGGCCTAGGCCAGCCCTGGTCGGCATTTGGGACTGAACACTTCCTAGCATGCTTGTACCCACGCTCACCTGCTCACTCTCTGCCTTTCGGACAAATAATAATTTTTTAAAAATAAACACGGGAAACAGAGTTGGTCGACTCAAAGATAAATGATCAGTCGAAAGTTTCCATTTATTAACAGATGTTAATGCAAGTCATTCCAGAGATAACCAACTTGGGCTTTGTGGGGAGCCGAGGGCGATTTGCTGTGCAACAGCGGGTAGCTGGAAAGGCTCGAACTGTTACTGCAGGAACTCCGAGAGTGCGCCCCCACAGAGCTGTGACTAAGATCAACAGGGGGTCTGGTGCAGTAGCCTAGTGGCTAAATCCTCGCCTTGCATGTGCCAGGATCTCACATGGGTGCCAGTTCTAACCTGGCTGCTTCACTTCCCATCAGGCTGCCTGCTTGTGGCCTGGGAAAGCAGTACAGGACGGCCCAAGGCCTAGGGGCCCTTCACCCAAGCTGTGGGAGACCCAGAAGAAACTCCTGGCTCCTGGCTTCAGATCAGTTGAGCTCCGGCTGTTGTAGCCAGTTCCCAAGTGAACCAGTGGATATAAGATCTTTCTGTCTCTCCTCTCTGTAAATCTGACTTTTCAATAAAATAGATAAGTTTAAAAAAAAAATCTCCAAGAGGTGAAAGCTTGCTTTACAAATGTTCCCAAAAGTGCTAGCAGTTGAAGTCAGCTGGCGTGAGCAGAGCGCAGGGCCGGTGCTGAAGCGGCACTGACTGGGAAGGCAGGGGAACGAGAAGGTGCGAGACCCTTTTCCCTGCCTGGACTCGCACTCGCTCAGCTGCCTGCTTTTGGCGCAGTCCACCTGGGACAGCAGGCACAAAGGAATACCGCCTCCAGAGTTCCAGTTCTGGCATCTTATCTGGTGGAGAACATGACTTAGTGCGGTGGTATGGCAGGCTAATCCTCCGCCTGGCACCGACATCTCAGGAGCATGAGTTCATGTTCCCGTCACCCCACCCCTGATTCCGCAGCCTGCTAATGTGACTGAGAAAGGCTCCAGTCCTCGGGCCCTGTGCCCACAAAGGAGAGCCAGAAGAAGGCCCTGGATCCTGAGCGAAGGTTGCAGCCGTCTGGGAGTGAACCAGCAGCTGCACATTTCTCTCTGTGTCTGCGCTTCGCGTTTTCTCTCTGTAACTCTTTCAGATAAAAATGAAATAAACCTTTTTTTAAAAATAGAAAATAACTTAGTAACTGGAACAGACATCAATTCTAAGGCTTCTTCTCCCCCGTAACTATAAAGCACCTTCCATCAGATGGCACAGTGCGTGACCCGGCGTGTCTGACAGCACAGTGCGTGACCCGGTGTGTCTGATGGCACGGTGCGTGACCCGGTGTGCAGTGCGTGACCCGGTGTGTCTGACGGCACAGTGTGTCTGACAGCACGGTGCGTGACCCGGTGTGTCTGACGGCACGGTGCGTGGCCCAGTGTGTCTGAATGCGGTTTCGGCTTCATGAGAGAAGCTTCGCAGGAAGCCCACAGCTGGTCTCTGTCCCGCAGGTATGACCCCAAGGAGAACAAGTGGACCCGGGTCGCTTCGATGAGCACCAGAAGGCTGGGCGTGGCCGTGGCCGTGCTGGGAGGGTTCTTGTACGCAGTAGGCGGCTCTGACGGGACGTCCCCTCTGAACACAGGTCAGTCCCTCCCGGAACGTGCCGTCCTCTCCTAGAACAGTCCCAAGACACTGCTGTTTTCTTCGGCAGTACAAGATTCTAGAAATTCCTTAGTAAGTGGTCAAAGCATTTTCTAAATATGCTTGCTTTTTACCACTACCTCTACCTGAACAACAACAACAACAAAAATACTCTATATTGAAATCTAAAATAAATAAAAACTTAGAACTAGAAACTGGTGCATTAATTCATCATCTCAGCTTAGAGGTGACAAGTATTTTAGTCCACAGGGAGTGTCGGCCTCATCGTTGTGTCATGTGTCCTTGCGACGGTGTAGTCACTGTCTGCTGGGAAGGCACTGTGCGAGGACGGATGTTTGGTGAGAACAGCTGTTAGGACTGCACGATGCTGATGGATGGTGCGCTGTAATCCCCCCATTTTAATCTGTACTGATGACGGGGGCCGTGACGTACCTTTATTCCAGCCCCTGCCCTCTCACCAGACCACGGCTGGAAGTGAACCCTGATGACGGCACACGTGTAGGAGTGTCCAAAGTCCGTTCACTCTCAGAAGCAAAAGTCACGTTGCTTATTGAAAATCTGTGTTCTCGCCAAGTGTCGGTGGTCATGACGCAAACTAGGGCGAGAGAGAATGCCAGCGCTCGCTGACTCAGCCTCCCTCTCCCCGCAGTGGAACGCTACAACCCTCAGGAGAACAGGTGGCACACCATCGCCCCTATGGGGACGCGGAGGAAGCACCTGGGCTGCGCTGTGTACCAGGACATGATCTATGCTGTGGGGGGCAGAGACGACACCACCGAGCTCAGCAGTGCCGAGAGGTACAACCCCAGGACCAACCAGTGGTCCCCAGTGGTGGCCATGACGTCCCGCCGCAGCGGGGTAAGTGCCCGCTCCCCAGGACAAGGCTGAGCGCAAGGGGCACACCCCGGTGCACTCTGACACTGCACAGTGGGCGGGTGAACTCCTCATCCGACACTCCTGGGATGCTTTTGGGCAAAACTCACTCATGTCATACTGGAAGAAATTTCTTACTTCTTTTTTTTTTTTTCATTACTTACTAATTAAAAAGTAGAGAAGGCCAAAGGGAGAAGTTGCATCCACTGGTTTACTCCCGAGTTACCCGTGCCAGCTCATCGGAGTGGACCAGGCCAAAACCGGGGCTCAGAACCCCACTGCAGTCTCCATGTGGTGGAAGGGACTGGACACTGCTGGCTCCCAGCTTGTGTGTCAGCAGCCACTCCCGTGGGGAATGCTGCCATCCAGGCACCAGCTTCACCCGCTGCCGTGCCATCCCTGCCCTTAATCTCAAGTGCTGAAATGTCTTACATCCAGTTATAGGTTTAACTGGAGAATTCATGTTTTTGAACTTAGGTATCCGTTGCTTCTTTGGAAGGCATTTCCCTGCAGTATCCTGGGTTAGCGCTGAATATCCCTACCTTATGTTGCTAGCTAGTATCTCAAGTAGTTGGCATAGTAATGTGGGTGTCTAGCAGAAATGCATCTGGCCACATAGTCTTCACAACAGGCTGAGTCTGTCCCGTCCATAGTGTAGGCCAGGTCAGGCTGGCCTGTGCCATCCTCTGGACTGTGGTTATCCACAGTGTAGGCCAGGTCAGGCTGGGATGCGCCATCCTCTGGACCGTGGTTATCCACAATGTAGGCCAGGTCAGGCTGGGGTGCGCCATCCTCTGGACCGTGGTTACCCACAGTGTAGGCCAGGTCAGGCTGGCCTGTGCCATCCTCTGGACCGTGGTTATCCACAGTGTAGGCCAGGTCACGCTGGCCTGTGCCATCCTCTGGACCATCGTTCAGGGCCTCAAGAGACTTGTAAAGAAGACTATAGGATTCACCCATTTTGGAACGTTTGGCTCAGCAGGAACCCTAACCCATCAAGGACGGGTTTGGCCAGGGGTCCATCAGTATGGAGCAGAGGCGGCAGGCAGCGGCAGAGTCCTTGCTTGGAGGGGAAGTGGGAGTGAGTTCTGGGTGACATACATCAGATAGTAGCACTGGAAGGCGTTAGCGAATCAGACATGTTCCTGCGTCTGTAACTCCTGCTTCTGGGTTATTTAACAGCTTTTGGGTCTAACTGCCATTGTTTTCACTGCTCTGTTCCATTGGATAGTTTTTACTCATTTCACAAGTGTTAATTATTGTGCTGAGAAAGCAAAACTGGGGATGACTTGACTGTCCTCCAGGAGTCCCAGTGCAGCGAAGGCAGTGTGGATGCTCATAGCAGCCTGTGTGTCAGAGAACATGGGAGGATGTGCCACTGCTCCGGGTATCAACAGTGGGTGTGGGCAGAGAAGAGAAGCTCAGAAAAGGAAGGTCAGGGCTCTCTAGAAGGGAGACGAGGACAGCGAGCGAAGACAGAGCTGTGAGACACGTGTGGCGTTCTCAGGGAGAGGCCCTTAACGCAGCAGTGTGGACGCAGAGAGCGTTAGCACGGGGAGCGGAAGATGGAGGCGGGAACAGCGGGTGGCGGATGCGCAGGCCCGAGGGACATACGAAGGATTTATTTTATTTTCAGAGACAGAGGGAAAGAGATTTTTGCATGCACTGATTCCCTCCCCAGATGACACACAGCCAGTGTATGCCCGGCAAAAGCCAGGAGCCAGGAACTTCATCCAGTTCTCTCACTGGGTGGAAGGGACCAGTGTGCTGGGCTGCCCCCTGCAGCTTCGCTGCCGTTAGCAAGGAGCTGAGTCAGACATGGGGCTGCAGACACAAACCAGTGCCCACGAACCAGTGCCCATGAACTTACCGTCTGGGGATCAGCATGGCAAGTCAGACATGGGGATCAGCATGGCAGGGCTGTCCACAGTGGCAGTCCAGAGATTTTCCTTTTTTTTTTTTTTTAAGAGAGTCTTAATAGCATCATGGAAAGTGGATTAAAAAGAGAAACACGAGAGAAAGTGAGAGCAGTTTGGAGGTGCTTTCTCGTTACTGGTGAACATGTCCAAAGTTTCAGTAAGTTTTGGACTCTAAGTAATTCTCATTGATGGGGCCAGTGTTGTGGTGTGGCGAGTTAAGCCAGCACATACGGTGCCAGCGTTCCGTGAGGGCTGTTCATTCCCAGCTCCTGCCCTCTGAACCAATGCTCTGCTAATGCTCCTGGAAGATCAGTGGGTGCTCAGAGCTCAGTCCCAGCCCCATCAGCAGGTACTCTGAGCTCAGTCCCAGCCCCATCAGCAGGTGCTCTGAGCTCAGTCCCAGCCCCATCAGCAGGTGCTCAGTCCTCAGTCCCAGCCCCATCAGCAGGTGCTCAGAGCTCAGTCCCAGCACCATCAGCAGGTGCTCAGTCCTCAGTCCCAGCACCATCAGCAGGTGCTCAGTCCTCAGTCCCAGCCCCATCAGCAGGTGCTCAGAGCTCAGTCCCAGCCCCATCAGCAGGTGCTCTGAGCTCAGTCCCAGCCCCATCAGCAGGTGCTCAGAGCTCAGTCCCAGCCCCATCAGCAGGTGCTCAGTCCTCAGTCCCAGCCCCATCAGCAGGTGCTCTGAGCTCAGTCCCAGCCCCATCAGCAGGTGCTCAGAGCTCAGTCCCAGCACCATCAGCAGGTGCTCAGTCCTCAGTCCCAGCACCATCAGCAGGTGCTCTGAGCTCAGTCCCAGCCCCATCAGCAGGTGCTCAGAGCTCAGTCCCAGCCCCATCAGCAGGTGCTCAGTCCTCAGTCCCAGCACCATCAGCAGGTGCTCAGAGCTCAGTCCCAGCCCCATCAGCAGGTGCTCAGAGCTCAGTCCCAGCCCCATCAGCAGGTGCTCAGAGCTCAGTCCCAGCCCCATCAGCAGGTGCTCAGAGCTCAGTCCCAGCACCATCAGCAGGTGCTCAGTCCTCAGTCCCAGCCCCATCAGCAGGTGCTCTGAGCTCAGTCCCAGCCCCATCAGCAGGTGCTCAGAGCTCAGTCCCAGCCCCATCAGCAGGTGCTCAGTCCTCAGTCCCAGCACCATCAGCAGGTGCTCAGAGCTCAGTCCCAGCCCCATCAGCAGGTGCTCAGAGCTCAGTCCCAGCACCATCAGCAGGTGCTCAGTCCTCAGTCCCAGCACCATCAGCAGGTGCTCTGAGCTCAGTCCCAGCCCCATCAGCAGGTGCTCAGAGCTCAGTCCCAGCCCCATCAGCAGGTGCTCAGTCCTCAGTCCCAGCCCCATCAGCAGGTGCTCAGAGCTCAGTCCCAGCACCATCATCAGGTGCTCAGTCCTCAGTCCCCAGCACCCATGTAGCATTTCTGGATGGAGATCCAGGCCCCCAGCGTCAGCCTGGCCCGGCCCTGGTGGTTGTGACCAGTGAATAGAGGATCTCTCTGTCTCTCCCATCCTCGCTCGCTCACTCTCTTCCTTCTCTCTATAAGTCTGCCCTTCATATAGATAACTAAATCTTTAAAAAGAAATTTCTTCCCCCTCAGGGAGCTGTGGCACAGCAGGCCAAGCCACTGTCTGACAGGCATCCCGTGTAACCACTGCTGAGACCCAGCTGTTCCACTTCTTCCGCACTCCCTCCTGATGCACCTGCCCCAGGTCCCTGGGCTCCTGCACACGTGTGGAAGACCTGGAAGAAGCCCGGCTTTTTAAGAGAGCTATCTGGAAGCCGGCTGAAATGTCCTGTGTTTCGGTCCTGTAGGTTGGCCTCGCGGTGGTCAACGGGCAGCTGATGGCAGTAGGCGGTTTTGACGGTACAACGTACTTGAAAACCATTGAGGTGTTTGATCCTGACGCCAACACATGGAGGTAACCTTTGAGCTGTGACGTGACAGTCCTGACCTGAGGTTCTGAAGGACTCTGAAGAGGGTGAAGTTATCACATCTGATGGAGTGCCTTAACTTGATTGCTGACATCTTATACAGTCCTTCTCTTTGGAAGCCATGTAGTTTTACAACCAGACATTTTAAAAAAAAGAGGAAAGAATGTCTGCTTTGTAGCCCCATCATATTCAGCTAAGGAAGCTAAGTAGCAAAACTTAGATTTCCTGAGCAAGTTACGGATGCAGTTGGACACTGTGTGTGCCTCCCGGGACGACAGTACAGTTCTCTAGTGTTTGTGGGAAACCTTAGGCCCAGAAAACAACTTACAGTTACCTGTGGAATAATATTGATTTCATCGTAAAACCTGTCAGGGAGCTAGCATCTGACGCAGTGGGGAGGAGGCCGCCCAGGACGGGAGGGTGACCTTGCAGCAGGACAAGGCAAGCAGCCGGCTGCGATACTGGAGCCCGTCCAGAGCCCTGGCTCAAGTCCCTGTGCCTCTCACAAAGCCAAATATGAAGTACATCAAATGCATACTGTTAATATTTCTTATTAAATTTGAAAAATTTGGGGCCTGGCACCATAGCCTGATGGCTAAAGTCCTCGCCTTGCATGCACCAGGATCCCATATGGGCACCGATTCATGTCCCGGCTGCTCCATTTCTCTTCCGGCTCCTGCTTGTGGCCTGGGAAGGCAGTCAAGGATGACTCATATCCTTGGGACCCTAAACCCACGTGGGAGGCCCAGAGGAAGCTCCTGGCTCCTGGTTCTGCCGTTGTGGAGCTTGGGGAGTGAACCAGTGGACAGAAGATCTGTCTCTCCCTCCCTCTGTAAATCTGCCTTTCCAATAAAAATAAATAAATATTTAAAAACAAATATGAAAATGTACTGTATAGTTGGCATTTAAAAACGTAAGAGAACTGGGGGTGGACCTTGCTTGTGTCTCGTTTTGGAGTTCCTGGTTCAGGTTCTGCCCCTGCTGTTCTTGGCCTCCTGTCCTGTAGCCCTTGAGAGGCAAGGGGCGTTGCTGAGTCATGCCGGTCCTGCCACACATGGGGGCCCTGGCCTCAGTGCAGGCTGGTGGCTGTAGCTGGCCTCCGTGTGGCTGCTGTGGGCATCTGCCTCGGAGCCAGCACAGTGGCACTGTGGGTCGGGCGGCTGTCTGCAAACCTGGCACCTCCCATGGGACTGCTTGAGTCCCTGCTGCTCCCCTTGTGACGCTGCCCTCTGCTTGGTCGCCTGCTTTTCCAGACCCATCAGCAGGGAGAACTGGAGATGGAGTAGCTGGGTCCTGAACCGGTGCCTGTGTGCGATGCCACGGTCATGAGCACTAGCCTTCCGAACCTTCCCGGGCAGCCCGTCCTAACCGGTATTAACTTCTGGGCTGAAACCGCTCAATTTCGAGAATCATCTATTGAGAGACTAATATCTAAACTTGCAACTAGGTATCCCAATCAGAAAACCATTGTTAGGCCTGCCTGCAGATCCAATATTCTTTTCCACAGAGAACTTGGTTTGGAATATGGCTTTGCTCCTGAATGCCAAACTAGATGCTGACTTTATTTACGAATGTCTGGGGTTTTTTCCAGCAAGGATGTGAGGAGGCTACAAAAGGGGTAAAAGTAAGTTACTGAAGGAATCTAGGCAGAGAGAAAATAATCGTAGCCAAATCAGAAGGCGGCAGTCCTTGATGTCCCCGGGCAGCCTGTGTCAGCGAAAGCTTCCCTGCCATGACCTTGGCCAGGCCCAGCTCCCACCACGTGGAGACGTGCATCAAGCGAGCCAGCATTTGTGCTGAGAAACACAGAAGCATGGTGGACTGACGTCTTAGTTACAGAAAAAACACTGCTTTCTTACAGTTGGAAAGGCTGATGGTGTGTCTCTCCTTGCAGGTTATATGGCGGCATGAATTACCGCCGGCTCGGGGGTGGCGTCGGCGTGATCAAAATGACACATTGTGAGTCCCACATCTGGTGACCGTGGAGAGGACGGTGTGCTCCATGCTCTGGAGCTGCGTACTGCTTGAAAAACATTAGAACAAAGTTTATTCTTTGCCGGTGCCTCAACATACGGAAATACAGATCCAGTCCAAGTCCTCCGCCTGCGAGACGTGCCTGCGCTCACGCCTTGGGCTCTCTGCAGGGCACTGTTTATTTGGGATTTTAATTTATCTTGGCTTTTTGTTTTTGATCAGTTTGTAAGTTTGCGTGCTTTACAGGTATTGATGTAAGTTTGCAGCTGCTGTTAGGGCAGCGAGGCTCGTTGTCTCTGAGCACTCCATTCACGGGATTGTACCTGCGGCGAGCAGCAGTGGGCAGACGGGGTGCCAGACGGATTGGCCAGCCATCATTGTTGCACTAAGCACCAGAAGACTTGAAAATCCAATAGTAATAATATTAATAAAATATAAGTAAATATTTTAAATAGTACAACTGAAAAGGGTGCAGCCAGGACTCAGCTGTTCCAGGCTCCAGCAGTGGGCGTTCTCACCTTACTTCGTCTGTCCTACAAGTCTTTTCTGTGACGCTGTCAGTGCCGTGGATCTGCAGCCCTGCGCGTGCCTCTTCGGAAGCAGCCTGTGGTCTCGTTTGCTGCCTTGGGAGTTTCCCGGTGGAATCATGCACAGCCCCTGCAAGAGTTTCTGTTGTAAAATGTTCATGACTGAAGCCACTTTCCTTCCTGGTACCTTATTGCTGCCAAAGGCAAGTTGCAAGAAGTCGCTTCTCCCACGCAGTACTTTCTGTTAGGGAATCTACACGTGACGCTCGGCAGAGAGGACAGCCCCAGGGACACCGGGGCCTCCGCAGGACCAGGTCAGCTGGGAGGACAGCGACACCGGGGCCTCCGCAGGACCAGGTCAGCTGGGAGGACAGCGACACCGGGGCCTCCGCAGGACCAGGTCAGCTGGGAGGACAGCCGCCAGCCAATGAATTCAGTCCATTTAACGATAGTGCATGTAAATGAGCGTGAAACCAACAGAGGCATTTTATTCACATTCTGGCTCTTTTATAGAGACTTTACCATCTGCATTCTTTAAGGCCACTGTTAACTGTTTCAGACTGCACTTCCTGGTAAAAGCTAAAATGTTTAAGGGAATCAGTAACAGTTCCAGTAGTTTTAATTTTTTTTCTCATTCTGTTCTGCCGGAAAATCTTTCCGTAAGCCTTTACGTATAACCAGAAGGGTCCCTTCGCCCCCACCCTCTGCCCTACTGCGGAAAGGTTTGGCAACTTTTGTGTTTACATTACAGATCATTTGCACCTTTTTCAAGGAAAAAAATATATAAGTATTTGGTAAACAGTTGTTTACTTGTATCATTTATGCTTTTTTCTAGCATGTATAACTTTTTTAAATAAAGGTAGTATTTGCCATAAGAACGTTTTTGGTTAATTTTTAATGCTTGTACCTTTGATATTTAATCTTCGGTTTCCGTATCATTTGTATTACCTTCATGTAAATTGTAAATGCCTTCAAACCGAAGGAATAAAGGAATTGCCAGCTAGAATTAGGAATTTTCGCTATGTATTTTATATATTACTTGACCTAATAAATTTTCCTTAGGTAGAGGGATCTGGAAGGACTTGTGAACAGTTCATCCATTCACCCATTTACTAAACTGACGTAGGTTTGGAGAGCAAGAACTCTGCCAGAATACAGCTCAGTCAGTGAACGAAGGCACAGCCATCGGAACTGTTTCCCAGCATTCCCACCTTATTTCATTTTCTGCCATGCTAGCTCATGCTGGGACGTGGCTTAGGACCAAATATAAGAATGGAGAAAGTCGAGCTGCAACATTTCAGAAGCAGTAAGACACGTGTGAGCGCCCGTCAGCATCACTGCGGAGAGAAGTCACGCCCTGTCCGCGACCCAGATGCCCTTGAGCAAGAGGCGGACTCCGGGGATGAGGCCCCGCGCGGGTCCCAGAGAGGCAGCCCCAGGACGGCTGCTGTGGAGCAGGCAGAGCCGGAGCTGCTGGAGCCGTCGCTGAAGAATCCCAGTTTTATCACTGAGCTAAACTTGTTCAAATATTTGGAAAAGACAGATTTAGAAAATCTTCATCTGTTAGTTGACTCCCCAGATGGCTCGAAGCCCCAGACGCAGGCTGCTCGGAAGCCAGGAGCCTGGAAGTTCGTCAGGGTCTCCAACAAGGGTACAAGACTGCAGGCGCTTGGGCACCACTCCCCTCGGCTTTCCCAGGAGCATTTACTGGACGGGATTGGAAATAGAGCAGCCAGAACTAGGGACCGAACCGGAACCGGTGCTCCTGTGGTCTAAGACACCACTGGCGAGTGGCTCATCCCCACAGTGCTGGCCTTAACAGGTGTTACAAATTGCAGTTTATATGAGATATCTACTTAGGGTTTATTTTTTCTAATATTTTATATGATAAAATGGGACCGTGCATGTACCTGCTGAAAACCAGGATACAGTGGTTGTCAGCTGACGTAGCTCTGTGTTCAGGCTGATAATCTAAGGTTATTCAGACTTGGCTGTTAGGCTCACAGTCTCTAACGTGAACAAAGACTGTTACTTAAAACAACCGACACTGTTATCGCTGCTAAAATTCAGTTGTCAAGACAAAATATAATTTTTAAGCTTGACAAATGAAAGACAATGAGATTGTGATGGTGTTGGTGTTGTACTGAACAGTGGAACTTTTCTAAGTGTGGAAGGTACACATAACTCCGGGAGCCAGTTCTGCGTGACGGTCATGTGAGTGGATCAGCTGGCGTGCAAGCAGACCACATCTGGGAGGCGTGAAGGGCCTCTGCTACAGTCCGATTCCAGTAAGCACTAGTATGTGGTTTGTAATATCAGAAATATCCTTAATTACCAAACACTGATTATTCTTGTGAATCTTACTTTGTTTACCTTAGCTAAAAAGCCGTATTTTGCAGGTGTGGCGCTATGGCTCAATGACTAAATCCTCACCTTGCGTGCACCAGCGTCCCAGACGGGTGCAGATTCGTGCCTGGCAGCTCCACTTCCCGTCCACCTCCCTGCTCGTGGCCTGGGAAAGCAGCGAGAATCCGCCAGAGCCTTGGGAGCCTGCACCCGCGTGCGAGATCCGGGAGCTCCTGCTTTGGGATCAGCTCAGCTCTGGCTGTTGTGACCATGTGGAGAGTGAACCAGCAGACGGAAGATCTTTCTCTGTCTCCTTCTCTGCGTAAATATGATGAGTTTTCATTTTTAAAAAAAAAGGGTCTTTAAAAAAAGAAACAACAACAACAGCGTATTGCAAGAAAGAGGTTGACTGCAAAGCAGATGTGAAAGCCCGGTGGCTTTCTATTGAAGCCAGATGTTACAAGACTAGGCAAGAAGGTGAGAGAATATACTCATCACTAATCCTTTTTGTTTTGTTTGAAAAAGTTATTTCAACCTTTTTGAAAATATTAACATGTTTATTGTGAATGCATTCATGTTCTAAATGTCTCCGTAGGTATTGTCTGGTAGGTATTGCTAGAACCAAGCTCTTCAGAGTTTGCAGTAGTTTTCGCGACTACAGGGTGTAGGGGAAGGCTGGGGAAGCCCTGCTCCAGATCCTCCATCCGCTGCTCTGGCCCAGCACTGTGCTAAGCCCGCGCCAGGAGGGAGCCCGATCAACCCAGGGCTCCCCCGGCAGGGCGGACCAGAGGCCCACCTGTGCCTCCACGGAGAGCAGGAGGCTGCAGGTGCTCGGACAGGACACCCCACATTGCAAGCAGTGCAATTCATTCCATTCCACATGGCCACTCCTGCATGAGCATTTGATGAGGGAAATGCACAGTGTGAGACATTTTCTAAGACAAAGAACCAGTTTTACAAAAATTGAATTGTAAGAAAAACAGTGAAATGAAACAGATAAACAAATACAAGGTTTTGTCCACCAGATGCAGTGCGTAAATCCTCTTTGGATATTGTTTCAATCACATCAATAATATAACTTTTGTTTCTGTTCTTTGTAATTTTGATAATCTTTACATAGTTGAATAGAGTACAAGGGGCCAAGGGCTACAGGAAAGTGGGTAAGACTATTGTTTCCACATTATTATTTTTTTCTGTATCTGGAGTAAGGGGGGAGATATAGGGAGAAGCCCCACCCAGCCTCCCACCCACCCCAGGTCCCCGATGTGGGGCATGCCCCGGGGGTCCTGCTCAAGTGGTTTTGATAGTTCAACAGTTCTGAATTACTGCAAGTCTTGCATTATAAGCACGATGAAATCACAGGCTGACATAGTCCAGCTTAGACTTTCCATTCGCCCAGATTGTCACTGCCAGCACATGGCTGGGGTAGTTGGTTGATTTGTTCTGTCCTCCATCCTTTGTTGTGTCCTCTGTAGGTTCCGATGGACTGCCATATCCTCCATGCACACCTGGATATGCTGTCCACTGTTCCTTGTAAGCCTCTGAGGAGCCTCAGCTTTAACACTTGCACTCCATGGTCAGACCTTGGAACCTGCACGTCTCTTCATGGTTGGGGTTTTGAGATCGGCAGTTCAGTTGGTCACATGAGGCCAACAGGTGTTGTAGCCCTGCCTGGCCTGGTCTGCCCCATACCAGCTCATGCTCTCCAGTGGGAGTGGTTGTCCAGCAGGAGCCCACATTCCTCCTGCCGGCTTTGCCCCCTCCCTCCCTCGTTCTCACGTGTGCTGGTTGTTTGCTGTGGGCACATCTGGTACGGCTCACCTCACCTTCACATCCGATAATGTGCACTGGTATGTGTTGCTACCAAACCTAGCCTGACCCACACTCTGTTCTGGTTCTCGGATTTGCCCAGGGGTGAAGTGAACTGGTTCAGCCTGGTCTGCCCCTGACTTATGCCAAAAGTATGCTGGTGGGTATCTTCCCTGGCCTGATCTGGGCTGCTCCTTATCGTGCTTCTTGTGCTTACCTGCAGGTCTGTGTTCTGCCAGAGGAGTTGTCCAGGCTCCCCCATCAGAACCTCCCAATGCCAGATCTTGCTCATACCGGTGGATCCATGAACCAGCATTACTCGGTCTACCTTCTGTCCTAGCAGGAACAGTGGCCTTTCCTTGCTGGACTTGAATCCATTCTGGTTCTTACTGTTGGATGTTTCAGCCCAGCCAAGGCTCATCCATACCCAGACACTGCTCACACATGGCTCAGTAGGGACAGAGGCCTAGCCTAGTCCGTCCTACATCTACCCAGGTTCTCCAGAGCACCAGATGGTGTTGGAGCCCAGCCCGGTTAGGGCTGTGCCAGTGGAGACTGCAGCCATCTCCAGACCAGAACGCAGCCCCCACTCTGGCCCCTGTACTCACCAGTGGGAATGCCAGCTCAGCTAGGGTTTCCCCTTAGCTCCCCAACCGGGCCTATTCCCAGCCATAGGTTACTCATGTGCCGGTGGTTGATCTGACCCAGTTGGCTTAGCCCCTCACCTGTCTCAGCCTTTGCCTTCGATGCTGTGGCCTGGCAACCCTGGCTCATGCAGACCAGTAGGTGTAAGGGCCTAGCTCAGCACGACCTGTGCTCCGTCCCGATTTCTGTTCTTCCTTGTGAGCTAAGGTTTGCTCGGCCCTGCCTGGTCCGCCCCCTTCCATAACCAACCCACACATTAGTCAATCATGGAGCTACTTTGCCCAGCTTGCCCGACCCCCAGGCCTGGACCATGTGATCATCAGTGGGAGTTGTGACCCACTAAGGGAGTTTCCCAAATTCCCCCAGTTGACCCACTCCAGATCTCATACATGCCAGTGCCCAGCAGTCTGCCCTTCCGTTTTGGCCTTGTACGAGCTGGTAACATTGCAGCCCAGCCCACACCCTGTTTTAGGATGCACATTCGGGTGCTGCTGCCTTTACCTGTCCAGACTGTTGTCAGTTCCTTTACCCATGAGCGATGGCAGGTTCCATGGTCAACCTAGCTCAGCCCATCACCACCCCAACTCTTGAGCTAACCAGCGGGACTTGTATTTCCACAGGGTTGGGCCCACACTTCCCCCACAGAATCTACCCCCAGACCTGGTCCTCTCGCATGCTGGTTAGTATCATGGCCCTGCCTAATGTGACCTGTCCCCGATCCAACATTCCATCAGGATCCAGCCCTGCTAGACAAGCCCCCAGCCTTCCCTTTCACATGGATGGCGTGTGGTGGTAAGCGCTGTTCGGTGATAACAAGTCTACCCAGGACTCACAAGTGGACTGGCCTATCAATCTGGCCCTTACAGATCTTCCGGTCTCTCCCAAACCACCAGGTCTCAGTACCCTTGCTTACCTTCAAGGAAAAGTTACCCGGTAGTTGGGAGTCCCTCAGGATTGATTCCTCACTTACATGCATTGTGGCCTCAACATGGACATACTCATGCAACAATTCCACACCCTCAAGACCCCAGAGCTCGCTGCTGGGTGGTCAGCAGGTGGAGCCAGGCGTGCAAGCATGGAGTCCGACCCGGCCTGGAATCTCCCAGCAGCCAACAGGCTGTTGGAAGTTCTCCTACCCAGACCACAAGGGCGCACTCCCCTGGTCCCACCCATCACATGTTGGTGGGGGATGGAGCCCGGGCCCACCTGTTCCCCAGAGTTCCCCTCTCGGTGTACTCACCATCCTGGGAGGGCAGTCGAGGACGGCCCAAAGCCTTGGGACCCTGCACCCGTGCGGGATACCCGGAAAGAAGTTCCTGGCTCCTGGCTTCGGATTGGCGCAGCACCGGCCGTTGCAGCTCATTGGACAGAAGATCTTCCTCTCTGTCTCTTCTCCTCTCTGTATATCTGACTTTCCAATAAAAATAAATAAATCTTTAAAAAAAATGTTAATAAACACATTGCTTCATTTTAAAATTGAATATTTAATTTAACACTGCAACAGGAATGGAACAGTATTAAAAACAGAAGTACATTAGTGGTTAAAGAGATAATAGCAGTCTCTGGTTCCTTGGAGGGAATTCTGACTGCCATCTCCTTGTAATGCAACACTGCTAAAAATGTCTTCACAAGACACAAACTCTCTGCTCACAGGCTTAAAATGGTTAAAATACATTAAAGGTTTCAGAGACCCAAAGCAGAAATATCCAACACTAGATATACCTCATTTGAATCCTAAAAGTTTGATATAATAGGCATAAAAAAAGAAAAAGAAACATGGCAAATACGAGCAGGTTGGCTTTTGCGGAGGGTGGCAGAGCGCAGACACGGTCACGGCTGTGGTCGGCTCGGTCCTTCGTGGCTTCGGTCCGGGAGACTCCGACTCAGAACGGAGCGGCCCCGTGGCTCCTGCAGGCCCGCACGGCAGTGGCGAGGCAGGAAGCCACCGGGGCAGGGCGGAGGGCTCACGCCCCACACTCACGGCCCTCACTCAATCTGAAACACTGCCAGTTCTGTCAGATACGCCAGGACGCCAACAAGGTATTTATGACTGAGGATCTGCGGGGGAAAGACATGCAAGTTAGAATAGTACTATAAAATAATCTTTTTTGAAAATTACAATAGCAAAGCAGTTTGCTACTAGAACAAACACTGCATTGCTCTAAATTTTGGATTTAGCTGACTAAGCTTGCCACATGCAATCCACTGTCCCACTTGCTTGCGGTTTTCCTTTGCTGTTTTAGAATGCTGGTCTCCTCTCCCCAGCACTGCCTGCCCTTACTGCCTCAAGTTCAGAAGGCATGAAGAATGCTAACACCTTACCAACTTCCAGGAACCTAAGAAACGAGTTCAAATCCTGACTCCACCTCTTTCCAAGCCTCCTTATACACATCACTTAAAACTGCAATGGCCTGGGCCTAGCGCAATAGCCTAGTGGGTAGTCTTTGCCTTGAATGCCTCGGGATCCCATATGGGCACCGGTTCTAATCCCAGTAGCCCTGCTTCCATCCAGCTCCCTGCCTGTAGCCTGGGAAAGCAGTCCTGCAGCACGGGGCGTGTACACTGTCACAGCCCTGCAGCACGGGGCGTGTACACCGTCACAGCCCTGCAATGGGGCGTGTACACTGTCACAGTCCTACAACGGGGCAGGATGTAAGGCCTGTTCACACTGACCTTTATCTTCCCATCGGTATGTGCTGAGGCCACAGATGTTGAAACACGGACCAGCTTCGTAGCTGACAAGTGAATTCGGAAATGTCTATAGAAATGTGACTCGAGGCAGTGCATGAATAAGTCCACTTCCTCCTGGGTCACCTCCCCGGGCGTTTTGTGGACACTGTCCCACAGAGCTCTCGCATCCTCGGAGTGGATGGCGTAGGAAATGTCCAGACTCTGGGGGCTGCACGGCACGGACCACAGGAGCTCAGTGGTGGCAACGCAGCTGTCCGTCTTACACGCCGTCCACATGGCAGCCATCCAGGAAAGATTAAAAGCGCTGATCGCTAAAGGACTGACGTAGCAGTCAAAAGTTTTCTGGAACCAAGTTCCAATGATGGCTGTATTCGACTCTGCTCCATTGGCAAGGAGTAAGGGCAGACACGTGAAGTCCTGGGAGACGGCCCTCAGCAGGCTGTCTCCGCACACGCAGCACAGCCAGCCGGTCCACAGCACCTTCCCTGCTCGGCCCGCCGACGGCAACGCAGACTTGGAAAGAACCTGCAAAGTACAGCTACTCTGAATTACATCTCAACATCACCTGGGCCACTAAAAACAAGACACTAGGACGTATTAACTTGCCATAGACCACAAAAGGTACAGCTTCCCTAAGCATTATTCATTAAAATTGAACTGGCAATCACTATCTTTTTTTAAGGCTTATATTTTTTATTTGAAAGAAGAGTTAGAGAGACAGGCAGAGCGAGGTTCCACCGAGTTCACTCCCCACATGGCAGCCACGGCTGGGCCTGCTCAGACTCAGGCAGAAACCAGTGCCCCACAGCGGTCTCTCACAACTCAGATGACTCAACAGGGAACTGGGTAGGAAACGGTGCAGACAGCCCTCAAACCAGTGCCCACAAAGGACGGCGGAGCTGCAAGGCTCTCACTCCCAGTACCCTTTCACAGCGACTGGAGATGCGGTACATGGCAACCCCTTGGTACAACCAAAGCACACGACAAGACACCAGAACCTGCAACATGGAGCCGCCAACTTCGCTGCATTCGTAAACCCAGTACCTCAACTGGAAGGCCAGCTGGAGCCCAGCTCCTTTGCGTGCAATTCAGATCCAATGCATCTACAAAGGCAGCAGTGTATGGGTCTCTGCTACCACATGGGAGGTGTGGATGCAGGCGCGGGCTCCCGGCTGCGGCCGACCCTGGAGGGGGCGTGGGCTCCCGGCTGCGGCCGACCCTGGAAGGGGGCCCGGGCTCCCGGCTGCGGCCGACCCTGGAAGGGGGCCCGGGCTCCCGGCTGCGGCCGACCCTGGAAGGGGGCGTGGGCTCCTGGCTGCGGCCTGCCAGCCCTGCAGTTGCGGCCACTGGTCAAGTGAGACAGGAGCAGGTATCTGCTTCATTCCTCCTTATCATGCTTTCATACTAATAAACAAGAAATAAATCACTTTTTAAAAAAGTGTTATGCCTATTGACATGATCAAATGCTACATTCCGGGAATAAGTTACTCGGCTTCCGAAGGGACTGGAAAGGTCACCAAATCCAGCGTGCCTGAATTCCTTCACTCAGAAGACCAGTCTTTCTAGAAACTTAAGAATTTTATTTCCTGCGTTAAGCTTTCTACAGCCCTATCCTGCTTTGTTCTTCACACAAAGCAAATCCAACCTGATTTTTGCAGGGAAAGTCCCTAAGCTACATGAAGGCCTCTGCACTCACCAAGTCCGCCCCGCCAGTCGCTCCGAGACGGCTCGGACTCTCTCACCTCCCTGCCAGCTTTCTCGGAGGTTCTTCCAAGAGGACGCGGTTACCTCGCCAGCCTGGTCCCGGGCTGTACAGCTATCAACGTAACCTAGGCTGCCAGCCTTCTGTTTGCCTTTTTCAGTTCACGGCTTTATAGAAGTCATTTCTCCATAGTCATTTCTGCTTTTCATGGGTGAATCCTATTCAACTGATGTCCATGCAATCAACCGACTCCTGTTAACATTGATTTAGCCACAGAGTCACTGCGCAGGGCCCACAAGAATTCTGCTTTCCTGAAGACATGCCAATGTCAAAACTGTCCCCATCAGCCACTTCAGCTGACAAAGTGTGATTAGTCCCCTGCCCCCACCTTTCCTTCCATAATGCAGCAGTGTCCTGATATTAGAAACAGCAAAGTATTCATCAGAAAAGAAAACTTGTTCCTGACATGGTACCCTAGGGGCTAAAGTCCTCGCCTTGCATGCACCAGGATCCCATATGGGTGCCAGTTCATATCCCAGCAGCCCCACTTCCCGTCCAGCTCCCTGCTTGTGGCCTGGGAAAGCAGTTGAGGACGGTCCAAAGCCTTGGGACTCGGCACTCGCGTGGGAGACCTGGAAGAAGCTCCTGGCTTTGGATGCGCTCAGCCGGGCCATCGAGGCCACCAGAGTGGACCAGCGGGTGGGGGATCTCTGGGCTCAGCCCGGCCATCGAGGCCACCGGAGTGGACCAGCGGGTGGGGGATCTTTGGATCTGTCTGTAGATCTGATATTCCAATAGATAAGTAAATCGTTAAAGAACAAACACACACACTTGTTCAGCCTGTCCCAGTAGAATGGGCTCACAACCTCGACCCTGTCTGTCCTCCCACCCGGGCCTGCACACCATGCGCAGAGCTGCAAGCCGGAGAGGAGAGAGACAGAGGAAGGCCAGACCAGAAATGACTTATCTCATCAAGCATCATAACCCTTGGCAGCTCACCCCCTCCTTCCTTTTTGCTCTTCCTTGTTCTATTTCTTTTTTTAAGATAACACACCTCTACCGTGTTTAATAACCTATGGCTTTTTGCTGTATTCAATTGCACTTTCCAGAACACTGTGAGAGTGCCAATATCACGGCCAACAGCAGGGGGCAGCACAGCCGCTCTCTCCAGGCCCAGGCGGCACCTGTCTTTGGTTCTGCAGGCTGTATGTCTCCACTGCACTGCTCAACTCTGCGTGCAGCCCCAACAGCGGCAGACCACATGACCCCAGTGCGAGGGACCGGCCCCGGCAGCCCCTGTGTACAGACAGCAGGTGACACGGGGCTGCACAGGTCAAAGTTCACTGGCCTCTGATCTACACAAGCACGAACAAACATGATGCCTTCCAACTTTCTGAGTTTACCTTCCTTACCAATGATTAAGTTTATTTAACTCTTGGACCTAGCGGCTAAAGTCCTCATCCTGAACATGCAGGGATCCCTTATGGGTGCTAGTTCTAACCCCGGCAGCTCCACTTCCCATCCAGCTCCCTGCTTGTGGCCTGGGAAAGCAGTTGAGGACGGCTCAAAGCCTTGGGACCCTGCACCCGTGTGGGAAACCCAGAAAGAAGTTCCTGGCTCCTGGCTTCGGATTGGTGCAGCATCGCCATTGAGGTCACTTGGGGAGCGAATAATCGGACGGAAGATCTTCCTCTGTCTCTCCTCCTCTCTGTATATATGACTTCCGATAAAAACAAATCTTCAAAAAAAAAAAGCATTTAACTCAGTCCTTGTATCAATGACCCCTTCACAGACCTCTCCTGAGCTCCATGAAGACAAGAAAAAATATTTAACTCAGAAGAAACAGGAGAAAAAGGTATCATAAGAAATGAAACAAATGCACTTGGGTCTAGCACAGTGGCCTAGCGGCTAAAGTCCTCACCTTGAACGCCCCGGGATCCCATATGGGCACCGGTTCTAATCCTGGTAGCCCCACTTCCCATCCCAACCCCTGCCAGTGGCCTGGGAAAGCAGTCGAGGACGGCCCAAAGCCTTGGAACCCTGCACCCGCGTGGGAGACCTGGAAAGAAGTTCCTGGCTCCTGGCTTCAGATCGGTGCAGCACCGCCACTGAGGTCACTTGGGGAGTGAATCACTGGATAGATCTTCCTCACTGTTTCTCATCTTCTCCGTAAATCTGACTTTCCAATAAAGATAAAATAAATCTTAAAAATTTAAAATAAATCTAAAAAAAAAAAAAAGAAAAAGCCAATGCACTCTGTTATGCAACAGGCAGATGGCCCGGTGCACTATGCGCCACCACAGGGCTGACACACCAGCACACTCGTGGGTCACTCTGCGTGATCCGGCACAGTAAGCAATCATGTCACCTCTTTGTTACTAAAATTCTAAAAATTCTACCAAAAACAAGGTTACAGAAAAATCGTCAAAACTATAGAATATCTAGTAGCTTGAGTAATTATCTACAATAGTAGTAAAAATGCCATAATGTGAAAATACTGAGCAACACAGTCCCAATTTTAAGACTTACAGATACAAAGAGAGGTGAACTACACGTTCAAACTGACTTCCAACGACCGTCTCGGCCTGGGTGCTGAGGCAGGTGACCACAGCAGCAGCCTGTGCCACAGCCCTCCCCGTCAGCATCACACCCCGACACACAGGGGGCTGTGATCCCGCACCTTCAACACATGGTTAAAATGTTTTAATGTTTTCAGTACTTTAATATATTTTCTAAAATTTTTTTTAAAGATTTATTTATTTTTATCGGAAGTCATATATACAGAGAGGAGAGAGACAGAGAAGATCTTCTGTCTGATGATTCACTCCCCAAGTGAGCGCAACGGCCGATGCTATGCCGATCTGAAGCCAGGATCCAGGAACTTCTTTCCTGGTATCCCACATGGGTGCAGGGTCCCAAGGCTTTGGGCCATCCGGGACTGCTTTCCCGGGCCACAGGCAGGGAGCTGGATGGGAAGTGGAGCTGCCAGGATTAGAACCGGCCACCATATGGGATCCCGGGGCATTCAAGGCGAGGACTTTAGCCGCTAGGCCACGCCACCAGGCCCAATTTTCTAAAATTTTTAAAGCAACAAAAAAATTTAAGGTTTTTTTTTTTTTTCTTGCAGTCAGATATACAGAAGAGGAAAACAGAGAGAAAGATCTTCTGTCTGCTGATTCACTCCCCATTGATGCAACGGGCAGGGCTGCACCAATCTGAAGCCAGGAGTCAGGAACCAGGAGCCAGGAGCCTCTTCCAGGTCTCCCATGCCAGTGCAGGGTCCCAAAGCTTTGTGCTGTCCTCAACTGCTTTCCCAGGCCCCAAGCAGGAACTGGATTAGAACCGACATCCATATGGGAGGGATCCTAGCATATTCAAGGAGAGGACTTTAGGCAGTAGGCTACCACACCAGGCAAAAGCAACAAAATTTTAGTCACACACTTGAACATTTTCTAAAAAAATTGGTGGGCTGGCACTGTAGCATATCATGTTAAGCCACTGTGCGCAATGCTGGCATCTGCATGGGTACTGGTCTGGGTCCTGGCTCTCCCCTTCTGAGCCAGCCCCTGCTAACAGCCTAGGGCAGCAGTGGGGCACGGCCTAGTGCTGGGGCTCCTGCACCCACGTGGGAGACCCAGCTCCTCCCTCGTGGCTGAGCACCAGCCCAGACCTAGCCGTGTTGGTCACGTGGGGAGTGAAGCAGTGGGTGGAGACCTTTCGCGCTCTCTGACTCTGCCTTCCAAATCAATGAGATCAATCTTTAAAAAACCAACGGAAGTTGGTTAAACATGAATGCCTAAAGTAACAACTTTGGGGTTTAAAAAACAGTAAGACAATACCACGGCAATTTCCAAAGCAAGACATTCCCGACTGTCCCAAGGAAGCCAGGCAGCACTGGATACCTGGACAAGCAGTGCGTCAGGGTCCCTCTGCGTCCCTCTCACTCCCAGCAGGGTAGAGAAGGTCACGGTGATGCTTAAGTCTTCGCCCACCTCCACAGCAAGTCCTTTTTGCTTTTCCGTAGTAAAAAACGCATTCAGAAGTCTAGAATACTCCTTGAGATTAGAATAGGAAAATTTATACAGGGGAGTTAAACTATATAAAGTCCACTGTTTATGCAGAAGGAATGCAACCTTTTGAGGATCAACATTTTCCTAAAAAACATCAAGAAAAAAGACATTGGATAATTAGGAAATATTAGCAAGAATTCCATCCTAGTCATTTCGGTGTCTAACACAAATCCACTCCCACTGGGGCTCACGGGGGCTATGCAGGTCTCTGAACAGCCCCGAGCACTCTCTGTCCCTCACCCAAGGGACACGCTTCTTCCACGCTCCTCCTTCATTCAGGGCCTGGCCCAGTGTCACCCAAGAGGATGGCTCACCCACTCCAACGTCACCCAAGAGGATGCTCACCCACTCCAACGTCACCCAAGAGGATGCTCACCCACTCCAACGTCACCCAAGAGGATGCTCACCCACTCCAACGTCACCCAAGAGGATGGCTCACCCACTCCATCACCCAAGAGGATGCTCACCCACTCCAACGTCACCCAAGAGGATGCTCACCCACTCCATCACCCAAGAGGATGCTCACCCACTCCATCACCCAAGAGGATGCTCACCCACTCCAACGTCACCCAAGAGGATGCTCACCCACTCCATCACCCAAGAGGATGGCTCACCCACTCCAACGTCACCCAAGAGGATGGCTCACCCACTCCAACGTCACCCAAGAGGATGGCTCACCCACTCCAACGTCACCCAAGAGGATGCTCACCCACTCCATCACCCAAGAGGATGCTCACCCACTCCAACGTCACCCAAGAGGATGCTCACCCACTCCAACGTCACCCAAGAGGATGGCTCACCCACTCCATCACCCAAGAGGATGCTCACCCACTCCAACGTCACCCAAGAGGATGCCTCTCCCACTCCAACGTCACCCAAGAGGATGCTCACCCACTCCATCACCCAAGAGGATGCTCACCCACTCCAACGTCACCCAAGAGGATGCTCACCCACTCCAACGTCACCCAAGAGGATGGCTCACCCACTCCATCACCCAAGAGGATGCTCACCCACTCCAACGTCACCCAAGAGGATGCTCACCCACTCCAACGTCACCCAAGAGGATGCTCACCCACTCCAACGTCACCCAAGAGGATGCTCACCCACTCCGACTTTGTCACGGTCCTCCACCCTGATCTTTTTCTCCCTGATGCTTATTATTCCCGACAGCATACACTTGTCACATACGATCTTCCCTATTAGAGTGGGAGCTTGGTTTTCAGTTTGTTTATTTCAAGGGCAATCAGAGCTCTTCTGGCTGCTGCTTCATTCCGCCCAGTGCACACAGGTCAGAGCCAGGAGCCTGGCGTGTCGTCCAGGCCTCCCACGTGCCCAGCAGGATCCCAAGTGCTTCAGCCAGCAGCTCCACCTCCCAGCTGTACCTCAGCAGACAGTGGATCGCAAGCCCAAGTGGGACGTAATCCCATGGACCCAGATTAAAGATGCAGGAGCCCCAGGGTGGCTTCTCTCTTTTTTTTTTCATTCATTCTTTCTCCTTTTAATTCATTTGAAAGGGAAAAATAAAGAGAGAGGTCTTCCATCAGCTGGTTCACTCCCCAAATGTCCATAGCATCCAGGGCTGGGTCAGACTGGAGCCAGGAGCCTCGTCCAGGGCTCTCATGTCAGTGTGGAGGCCCGAGCAGCAGGACATTAGTAAGAAGCTGCATCACAAGTGAGGCAGCCAGGGCTCCGACCTGTGCCCACGCAGGACACCAGCTTCAGGGGTGCTGACATCATTCACCGTGCACCTTAACCAACGCACGCACAGCTGTGCCTATCCCTGCAGTGTGAGTTTAACAAGAACAGGAATTCGGTCTTTTCACTCAATCTCCTACAGCAGTGCTATCTAAAACAGGTGTGTAATAAAAATTGAATAAAGGGCCCAGCACGATAGCCTAGGCTAAAGTCTTTGCCTTGCACACGCCGGGATTCCATATGGTATCAGTTCTAAAGCCCGGCGACCCCGTTTCCCATACAACTCCCTGCTCGTGGCCTGGGAAGGCAGTAGAAGACAACCCAAGGCCTTGGGACTCTAAACCCACGTAGAGACATACAAGAAACTCCTGGCTCCCGACTTCAGATGGGTTCAGCTCTGGTCATTGCAGCCACTTGAGGTGTGAATCATTAGATGGAAGATCTTACTCTTTGTATATCTGACTTTCCAATTAATAAAAAGATCTTTTAAAAAAACTGAATGAACACTTACACGCTGCTTTAGATTGCAAAGATTGCAAGTTGAAGGCTCAGCACTGAGGCCGCGTCAAGAGCCACTGCCCCACCATGCCAGCGTCCCACCATGCCAGCGTCGTGCTTGAGCACCAGCCTGGGGCTGGCAGCTGCACTTCTGAGCCAATCCCAGCTAATGGAGCCCTGCCATCCACATGATGGGTCGGGGTGAGGCCCGGGGTGACAGGCTGCATCGGTCCCAGGCACTGTGAGCACGTGAGCAGTGAGCCAGGGTTGGCCTTCTCTGTCTCGAAGACTCTGACTTTCAAGTGAATAAATCAAATCTTTAAAGAGAAAAAAGGCTGAGATTCTAACACCTGTGGATAAAATTACTCTCAAACCGTACAAGGTGTATATATATATATAAAACATGCTAATTTCATGTTTAGACTTGAGGCCCCAAAACAATGTAATCACTCCCATGCAAATACACCCCAGTACTAAACATCTCGGAAAGGGACACTCGACCCCTAGGCAGTGACCAGTCCTTACACGGCCAGTTTGGCTGTTTTTTCATATCTGTTTTTATTGCAAAGTCAGATTTACAGAGAGAAGAAGAAACAGAGGAAGATCTTCCATCTGATGGTTCACTCCCCAAGTGGCCTCAACAGCAGAGCTGAGCCGATCCAGAGCCAGGAGCCAGGAGCCAGGAACTTCCTCCAGGTCACCCGTACGGGTGCAGGGTCCCAAAGCCCTGGGCTGTCTTCCACTGCCTTCCCAGGCCACAAGCAGGGAGCGGGAAGGGAAGCAGAGCAGCCAGCATAGGAACCAGCGCCCTCATGGGATCCTAGCACATACAACTGAGGACTTCAGCCACTAGGCTACTGCACTGGGCCCGATTAGTTTAAACTGAATTATTTAAAATGTTATTTGGCAGTAAATTTACTATACAACACAATGCTTAATTCAACAGATTTTTTTTCCTTTTTTTAAAGAAAGGATGCTTGGGACACATCTTGCTATACTGTTTGAATCACAGGTGCCTTGTAAAACAGACCAGTGTGGGCCTTGCGGAATATCCTGAGTCCGCTCGCGGGCCGCTCACCCTGCAGGGTACCCCGAGTCTACACGTGGGCCGCTCACCCTGCAGGGTACCCTGAGTCTACACGCGGGCCGCTTGCCCTGTAGAGTACCCCAAGTCCGCACGCGGGCTGCTCAGTTTCCCCACAGCTTTCCTATGTATTCCTGACTTAGCTGGTCTCACAGGGCCAGCTAACCATCTCGCGGAGGTTTAACTGTAACTGTAAACTTGATGAAAATGTCTGCTCTGGCTCCTGCATCCGCTCAAATCACAAACTTTCTCTTTTAACTGTCAAGGCACATGGGAACTTATGACCCAGGGCGGAGGAAGTACCGAACTGGATATTGCAATCTTTAACATACATGATTTCTTTTTCTATTTTTCTTACTAAGAATTATAACTTTCAGTATTCACACAAGTAATTTTTCTTTGAGCAAGTTGTTACAAAGAAGTAAAAACTATCTCATATGCTAAGAAACATTGTAAGAGGAAAGAAGCAGGGCCAGGCCAGGCTAAAGTCCTCACCTTGCACTTGCCGGGATCCCAAATGGGCACCGTTTTGTATCCCGCAGCCCCACTTCCCATCCAGCTCCCTGCTTGTGGCCTGGGAAAGCAGTTGAGCACGGCCCAAAGCTTTGGGACGCTGCACCCGCGTGGGAGACCCGGAAGAGGCTCCTGGCTGCAGGTCGGCTCAGCTCCAGTCGCTGTGGCCACTTGGGGAGTGAACCAGCAGACGGAAGGTGCACCTCTCTGTAAATCTTCCGTTCCAATAATAATGAAAGAAGCTGCAATGAATGTATGGGTGATTGGTGACGATCAGCCAGGCTCTTAGTAATTAACACCAAATCATACATCAAATTTGCATTGAATAGAATTATATTTTCTGATTCAGTAAGATTAAAGATCACTAAAGTAATCCCTTTCGGTAAAGTTTTCCTGGGATTCCACTGGCGTGTGCTGCTCTCAGGCAAATCTGGCACAATTTAAGCTTCAAAATAGGGCTGGCATCGTAACACAGGATAAACCTCTATCTGGAGTGCTGGTCTCCCATATGTGCACCAGTTCAAATTCCAGCTGCTCCACTTCCGATCTAGCTCCCAGTAACGTGTCTGCAAAGCAGCAAATGCTGACCCAGGTCCTTGGGACCCTGCACCCACGTGGGAGACCCGGAGGATGCTCCAGGCTTCTGGCTTGGCCCACCTACTCTGGCTGCTACATCTGGGGAGTGAATCAGCAGCTGGAAGATCCTGCCTCTCCTTTCTCTGTAAACCTGCCTTTCAGGTAAAATAAATAAATCTTAAAAAGAAAAAAAAAGTGCACCTCGAAATAACTTAGTAATGAATTACAGACACTTTAAAATTAGGAATTTATGAATCTTTACCAATAATAAATAAGAAAATAAATGGAGGGCTTAAAATAGGATGCCAAGAGGCGCTGCTAAACACAGTGAGTGCTGAAGGTGGGATGAGGGGAGTGACCGACAGACGCTGTTTCGGGAGAAATGATCAGGGTATGTGCCTTGGCTGGGAGCTGTCTGCCTGCAGGCTGCCCATCAGTTACCAACGGGAAAACACAATATTTACACAAAGTGGCACCGGGCAGCACGCAGCAGGGCAGGCCTCCGGCACGGCCATCCAGCACCGCCTGGGACACCCACAACCCACGCAGGAGTGCCCGGTTCTGTTTCCTGGGTGGCAGGAGATGGCTCAAGGACCTGGGCTGCTACAACCCAGCGTCCTGAAACCAGCTCCTGGCTCCTGTGTGGCCATCTCTAACTACTGTATGAGCAAGTCAAAAACTGACTGATGGCCTCTCTCTGCCTTTGACATAAAATGGAAATAAATCCAAATTGCTAAGAGCAGCATTTCCCCTGTGCTTCCAACGCCAGCTGTGAAGCGCTCAACACTCCTGCGGGGTTCCGGCCCAGAACGCACAACGCCAACCTAATCACAGGAGCCGTCAGGCAAACACAAAAGGACAGAGGGGGGGCTATATTCTTCAAAAGCGTCAATGTTGTACAAGACACTCTGAAAATGGCCTATATTAAAGAAGGCTAAATAACATAAGAGAGAGAATGCCGCAGTGTGAAATGTTTTGACTGTCATTTTTAGCAGCCACAGTGCTAAGATCCTACAAATACTAGCAAGCGCGACAAGCCTTCACCCTGTCGTTCAGCAGCACTGGCTGGGGAGGCGCACGCACCTGCAGCTGCGAGCACTGGGGGATCCTCCTGCGCGGCGTGGGCGGCACACACGGGGCGGACTGCCTCCTCACCGACTCCAGCCGCCTCTGCAGAGGCGTGGCGCCTGGGCAGCCACCTTTAAGATCCAAGGACGGGCATTGTTGAGGCTCCGATTCTGCACCATCACAAGGATCCATAGTCTACAGTCAAAGAAAAAATCAAAGTTAATTCATGCTGACAACGTCACTACAAAATTCCTCCTCCTTTCTTCTCTCTTCCTCCTTGCTCCAAGCTTGGACTTTTCAACCAAGCTCTGCATTTCTCATTGACTATCTTAGCACCACTTAAGAATCCATCAGTATGTTCAGAAGCACATCAAATTCCTTCCAAAAGCTATCCACCCCATTTCTAAATTCCTGTCAATTTTCTACATTCACTTAAACTTATTTAAGTAGTCCCCCACTGTCATTTAACACGAACCATAACATACACTTCCACGCTGTCTATTCCTAAAGCTGCTTCCTTAGCCATGTTTTTATTATGATGACTAAGGGTTCCCCATCCGCAGTAACCCATTCTTCAAAACAAAGAAGCTCCGAACTAGCTTTAGTTACTTGTGCATGCTGCGAGGTGCAAGCGAGATCACGCCAGACAAGTCCAAACAAGTCCATGTGGCAATGCAGTCAATCCTAACCCCAAGAGGAACAAATGGTCACTACCCCAAGTCTATCCATTAGACAGAAGACCTATGTCCCAGCTTCCCTAAGAGACATGCAACGAACAACCTGGACACACTCACAAAGCTGCAGACATTCACCTTTCCTGTTGGGGTCCCTGCAGTAGATGTGGGGGACGTGAGGGGGTGAAGAGTGTTCCTTTGCAGGCAGGGCCGCAAGGAATTTCCCGCTGTTCGGCAGGGCCCACCCAGCGGATGTCTCTACAACCACCTGAATGCAACTCCACCTTCTTTTGCATGGACACTGGACCACCCTGCGGAAGAATTCTAATCCATCCTGACATTTGCTACTGCGAGGTTAACCTTTTGCTCAGCCTGAGCTTGGAGGTCAACGTCTTGCAAATGGGGCCCTTTATCATTCCTACTGTCTTGGCTGTCCCCATTGAGCCCATGCTAATCAAGGGATCTCAAATGGGGCCCTTTATCATTCCTACTGTCTTGGCTGTCCCCATTGAGCCTATGCTAATCAAGGGATCTCAAATGGGGCCCTTTATCATTCCTACTGTCTTGGCTGTCCCCATTGAGCCCATGCTAATCAAGGGATCTCAAATGGGGCCCTTTATCATTCCTACTGTCTTGGCTGTCCCCATTGAGCCTATGCTAATCAAGGGATCTACATTTAGGCCTTCATTCTTTCCTCATTCTTTAGACTCCCCTTTTCTTTGTGGTACAAGATTGCATTGTAGGATAAGAATCGTAGCAGGAAATTCTAGGTAATGTTAGCAGGAACTTCTATTGTTTCTAGGTAAAACTAATGGCAGAATTATCCTTAGAAACACCCACTTGGTCATGACGTAAAAAGTCTGAGCCAGAATTTGACTGATTTGTATAAACAAAGCGGACAGCTTTTGTGCGTCGTCCATTATGATCACAAAGTCCTAGTGGTCTGTCTCTTTCTTTGCTCTTTGCGCCTCATCCACGCACCCTTCGCGAGTTCTGAACTCAGCTGGAGCTGGACTCCGACACTTTCCCTGGCTTCTCTGCCCACATTCCACTACTGCTAGGCCTTGCCTCTCCTGGAGTCAAGTGCCAGAGTGGCCACAATTAAGAGTGAGCCCCTCCTGATCAGGGGCCTTTCTGGGGGCTTATGAGGGGAGTGGCTACACAACAGTACGATACCGCCTTCTCTCAGCTTCCAGGGATGACAGGTGAGCACCCCAGGTGGGCAGCAGGGAGCACCCAGGTGGTGGGGGAGTGGCTTCTGAGCTCGGGACCCTGACCCAGCTGCCTGCCCTACCACAGTGCACCAGTCTTACAGTGACAAGAGCAACCCTGACCCCCTCTACACACTCCAGGCTTTGTATGATTCACCATCTTCAGAGCCCTGTTAGTCTCCCTCTCCATGCAGGCAGATTCCCTAACGGAGGTGACCCTCTGACCTTGCACCCCAAGAGCATCCTTAGAGTTGGTCTTCTCAGCCGCTTGGGGCTTGACAACCCTTTGCCATGCGACACCCTCTATTTGTGTTGGGCTCACTCTGGCCAGCAGGCTGAGGGGGTGTGCACACTGTGTCTAGCCAAATGAGCTATCCTCAATCCCTCGCAGGAATATCATGTGGCCCGTGTTTGCACGCTGCCTTGTACTAGTCAAGATCTGTTATTTTTGTTGTTTACACAGTTGAGGGGGACGCATGCCCACACGAGTCCGCAAGCAGATGGGGAGGGTCTACACATGGGCGAAGGCTGATGTCATAAATGTCGCAGTTCTTTTCTTTTTGCTCCTGTGCCCACCGGGGGAGAAGGGGGAGGCCTCTGCTTTCTGTCAGGCTACATCAGCACCCGGGGTCGGGGATGGTCCTGTGACGACACCTCAGAGGCCACGACGTGGGAAGGAGTGTTGTGAGGCTGTGATCTGATCGCTTCTGATAGCTGAGATGCCACTGGCTTCGCTGAACCAGGGTTGAGAAAATCTTTCCAAGGTCTACTGGCTGACCAAGTCCACCTCAGTGCAGCCACAGACGCAGTCACTGACGGCTAACCTCAGCTGGCAAAGCCCTGGCCTTTCCATCCTCGGCACCTGACATGCCCCGCAGCCTAGGTGAGCTGGGTACCATGTCCCCGTGTGCAGCTGGGCATGCTGTCCACTGCACAGGCATCAGCAGCTGAGGAGGTCCAGTCCCGACACATGTACTCCAAGGTCAGACCACATATCTTGTGATGCCCTCTCTGCCCAGGGTTTGAATCCAGCCATCTAGTTGGGGAGTCCCCTAGGACACCTCTGGGGTGACCTCAGCCGTGACTCCTGTGCACCAGCCAGTGCAGGGTCAGGTTTGGTCCATCACTTGCAGCAGCCAGTGCATACACTGGTGGATGTAGCTGCCTAGTCAGTTTCTCCTCCATCCCATCTCTCTGTGAACCAGCAGGTGCTGCAGCCCAGCCCAGCCCAGCCTGCCACAGGCTCAGTCCTCATACACACCAGTGGGCACTGCGGCCTAGCTGGGGCAATCGCTAATGACCACCACCAGGCCTGTCCTCAGCCCTGGCTTCTGTGCATGCCACCATGTGCTGCATCCTAGCCTCGCATCCCATCTGGCTCTCATGTAAGCCCGTGGGTGCTACAGTTTAGCTCAGCCCAACCTGCCCCCAGCCCTGGCTCACGCGTATGCTGACAGGTGCCGGTGCCTTGCCCAGGGCCCACTCCCAGCCATGGCTCTTGTGCCCACCAACAGGAGCTGTAGACTAGTAGGGGAGTGCCCACAGTTCCCCTACCAGGCCTGCTCTTAGCCCTAATCTTACACTTAGCAGGCAAGTGGTGGCCCAGCTTGACATGAACTCTCACCCAGCCCCAGCACCTGCCAGCCTGGCCGCCCTCCTCTCCTGGTTCTCACATGTGCCAGAGGTGCAGTACCCCAGCCCAGCTTAGGTGCCCCAGCTCTCACACTCACCAGCAGACGCAACGGCCTCAGCAGGGCAGTCGCTGCAGTTCCCTACCCAGCCTGCCACCTGGGTTGTGTGTGCCAGTGGGTACCACAGCCCAGTCAGGCATGGCCTGCCTTCAGGGTACGTTTGATCTGCGTCCCTGAAACTACACTTTGCATTTCTCTAGGTGAGACTATGCTATCGCGCTAGGCCCAAGAATTGTCACTTAAAAATTGTAATTATTCCCAACACATACTCTTTTTAAAAAGAGTTTCGAAGTAAAAGTCACATTTGAGGGCCAGCATGTTCCATCCATACAGGCATGAGCTCATTTCCCACCCAGTGGCAAACACTGTGGCATGACAGTTCAAACAGCCACCTGTGGGCCCGGCGCTAAAGTCCTCTCCTTAAACACGCCAGGATCCCATATGGCCGCCGGTTCTAATCCCGGCAGCTCCACTTCCCATCAGCTCCCTGCTTGTGGCCTGGGAAAGCAGTTGAGGATGGCCCAAAGCTTTGGGACCCTGCACCCACCAGGGAGATCTAGAAGAGGCTCTAGGCTCCTGGCTCCTGGCTTTGGATCGGCGCAGCACCGGCTGTTGCAATCACCTGGGGAGTGAATCACTGGACGGAAGATCTTCCTCTCTCTCTGTCTCTCCTCCTCTCTATACATCTGACTTTGTGATAAAAATAAAATAAAACCTTCACACAGCTAGCTGGGAGGCAGGCGTTTCATGTGGGCACTGGTTCGAGTCCTGGCAGCCCCACTTCTTACCCAGCTGCCTGCTAACGCAGCCAGGAAAGCAGCAGCAGACGGCCCAAGTGCCTGAGCCTTCGCACTCATGTGGGAAGCTCAGATAAGGTTCCTGGCTTTGCAACCCCAACAGCTGCTGCCATCTGATAGTGAGGTAGCAGGTACAATCTCTCTCTCTCTAACTCTAGTTTTGAAGTAAGTAAATCTTAAAAAAAAAAGCAGCAGCAGAACACTCAGGACTTAAACCAGCACTCCAACACACTGGCCTCACCAGCACCACTGCCCCGCACACCCCAAAACCACACTGGAAACAGTGGACACTGTGGGGAGTGCAGCTGAGGCACCACTGCCCCGCACACCCCCAAACCCACACTGGAAACAGTGGACACTGCGGGGAGTGCAGCCGAGGCACTAGCGCCCCGCACACCCCCAAACCCACACTGGAAACAGTGGACACTGCGGGGAGTGCAGCCGAGGCACCAGCGCCCCGCACACCCCCAAACCCACACTGGAAACAGTGGACCCTGGGGGTCAGAGGCGCTGTGGCATAGCACGGAAAGCTGCTGCCTGCACAGCCAGGATTCTGTTACAGGTGCCTGTGCATACCCAGGCTGCTCCATTTCCAGTCCAGCTTCCTGCTACAGGCCTGTGAAAACAGTACAGGACGGGCCAAAGCCTTGGGACCCTGCACCCACAAGGGAGACCTAGAAGAGGCTCCTGGCTCCTGGCTTGGAAGCAGCCCCTGCTCGCAACGGCCACTTGGGGAGTGAACTAACACATGCAAGATCGCTGTCCCCCCTCTGTAACCCTGACATTGCTCTCCGTGTATGCTGAATTACCTAACTGAAAGGAAATCCCAGGCAGAATTACAGGCTGCATTTGAAATAGGGATCAATTTCAAGGAAAATAAACCCCACTAACCTTGAGTCCCTAAAAGAGAAATGTTATAAGTTACCAAAAGTACATGAAAGTCTAGCGAAGCAACAAATCTAGAAAGCCAAAGATGACAGCGAGGAGAGGGGGACTGGCTGGAGAAAACACGTGACCGCAGTGTGTGACACTGAGGTTAACCCGCGCCTTGAAGACGCAAATGGCACATACTCACTCCAGACTCAACCATCGGGAAGTTAGGGGCACACCCCGTCATGACACCAGCGCCCCGCTGCTCCTCGGCCCACTCTGAGGGGCCCTCCCACTTGCTTTGCAAAGCTCCTGTGTTCCCCAGTTCGCCGCAGCCTCCCTCGGGCACCACGCCCCTCCTTTAGAATCCCTACATAAAATGCGAGCTCACGGGAGACGCGGACTAACGTGCAGCTACTTACCCCCCTTCCCAGCACTGTCTCCCTCCCAGGTCAGGACGCACTCAAGCGCCTGCTGAAGGCCCGCACTGTAACACTGCACGGGCAGTGGACCCTACGGGACCGCGGCAGGAAGAATACAAACGGAAGACACAATCCCATCATCTCCAACCTCTCTCCCAAGGGCCCCTCTTCTCCCTCTGCCAAACCCACTCCGGCATTCTCAACACGAATAAGCAAATACACAGTTTCCCTCCAGTTCGCTTCATTCTGTTTGAGACCAATGTCCTGGAGTCAGGTGTACGCCCGGGGCCTCACGAAGACCCACCAGGCCGTCGCCCTCACTCAGCACGGCGGAGACCAAGGCCAGACCCCCGGCTGAGTGCCTGCCCCCTGCCCGGCGCCCACCCGCACGCCCCCAACCCTCCATCAAGCCAGCTCCCACCCTCAACTTCCTGCTACCTTGTATCTTCACCGCCCGGGGAGGGGGCACGGCCTCACGTCCAGGGGCGGGGTCGGGGGGGGGGGCACGGCCTCACGTCCAGGGGCGGGGTCGGGGGGACGGCCTCACGTCCAGGGGCGGGGGTCGGGGGGACGGCCTCACGTCCGGGGCCGGGGGGCGGGGGGGGGGGGTCGGCCTCACTTCCAGGGGCGGGGGTCTGGGGGACGGCCTCACGTCCGGGGCCGGGGGTCGGGGGCACGGCCTCACGTCCAGGGGCGGGGGTCGGGGGCACGGCCTCACGTCCGGGGCCGGGGGTCGGGGAGACGGCCTCACGTCCAGGGGCGGGGGTCGGGGGGACGGCCTCACGTCCGGGGCCGGGGGTCGGGGGCACGGCCTCACTTCCAGGGCCGGGGGTCGGGGGGACGGCCTCACGTCCAGGGGCGGCTGAGCCCCAGAGCAGCGCCGAGCCCTCCGCGCCCACACCCACGCACCGTCGGGACCACCGCGCAGCCCGGCCGAAAGCAGCTTACCAGCGGCAGGCCGTGTGGGCGCCGTCCCCCATGCCGCGTTCACCGCTCGCCCTCCCGGCCACCTGTCCAGCCCACCTCGGCTCCCCGGGCAGCTCGGGGGAGGACACCGCTGCCGGGGAGGCCACCCGCACCCCAGCGGAGCGGGAGCAGCAAGGCCTCGCCCCTCTCCGCCGCCGCTCAAGCTTCCGCACAGGGCCCAGAAGCGGCTCTAAAGTCCCGCCTTGGAGAAGCGGCAAACCGGCGGCCGGCCGCCTCCTAAATTTAAAATGGTTTCCCGACTCGCTCCGCGGTCCGACGCAGGAAACCTCTCTGGCGAGCCGCCGAGTCCCGGTCAAGGAAACAGCTGAAGTCGCCATTTTGACTGAGGGCAAGGCCCGGCGACCTAAGCATCCTCCGCGCCGCTCCTCTCCGCGCGGCGCGGGGCTGCCGCTTCCGAGCGCCGCGAAGCCGCGCCTCCAGGTTTCCGCCAGCAGTACGCATGGCGGCTCGTCCTCCGTTGTGATTGGCCGAGGGCCCTCGTCGTCCAAGTGGGGCGCTGGGTGGACGGAGGGGAAGGGCACGCGTGGGCCGGGGGGTCGCGTCCGTGTGCGGGAGACTGTGAGGGCGAGGCTACCGCGCCGTGTTTTCCGGGCCTGCCGGCGGAAGGCTGACGGGCTCTTTGTCGGGCCCGTGTGGGCGCTGCTGGCCGCAGCCTTGTGACCATTGAGAAGGAGCGTGCGGGGTCCGACCATCCCCGAAAGGCGGGTCGTCGCGCTCCCGGACTCGGACGCGGATGGTGGACGGGGGTCCCTGGCGCCTGGCGCGGTGTGTGCGAGCTGCCTGCTGAGCCCCGGCTGGCCGGCCGACATGTGCTCGGCTTCTGGGCTCGCTCTGCTGTGCAGGGCCCTCTGCAGACCCGTCGGATGGGCTTCTCTGCGCAGGAGTCTGACGCTGAGTGCGGGCCGGAGAACTCCAGGTGACCACGGCACCTGTGCCTGCCCTCCCCGGGCCTCCTGCAAGGGCCAGCTCGGCCGCGATGCCCTCCTGCCTCAGAGTGCAGGGTTAAACTGCCAAGGGCAGCGGGGCACGCCCGTAGATGTAGTCCGCTTGTAGGTGGCAAGGGCGGTGTACCCAGAAAGTCCCTTCACACAATGGAACGCAGTGTTTTCCGGTGTGCAAGGGGCCGTCACACACACTGGATTCTTACTAAAGCCAGTTGCTGCAGCATCAGTCTGTGATAATTCCTGGAACCACGTCTCACGAAAGGAAGAACTGTGCAGCATTTAAAAATAGATCATTGGGATGTGCAGTCAACGCAAACGTGAGATGAACCACAAACTGGCGAAAGTGTGCAATGAGAGGAGTCCCCACTGGCCTTGTGACATTGCCCGGGGACTTGAGCAGTGAGTGGGTGGCTCTGATGCCACGCTCTGTCACTGTATCCATGGCGTTGGGCCTTGGCGTTCTTTCTCAGGAAGCCGCTGATTCTAATAGTGCCTTGAAGCCTCCTCTCTCTCCCTCCCTTTAGAGTTGAACAGCTTTACCGCTCGGACCAACACGTGTGGGGAGCTGCGCTCTTCTCACCTGGGCCAAGACGTCACCCTGTGTGGGTGGATTCAGCACCGGCGGTAAGTCGAGGCACATGGCTGAGGGATGCATGGCGTGTCGTTCCAGGGCTGTTCCAGCTCACACGCAGCCAAAGGTGTGAGCGACTTGTGTAGGACTGTCAGGAGTCACTGAATTTTCAGGTTCGTTCTTGTTTTGAAAGACTCCACTGGTGTCATTTGCAGAAAGTAGGAGTAGCGTCTGTGGATGCCAAAATCAGGAGGCTGCCAGTGGGAGGCTGTGTCGGCGCTGTCGCCCAGCAGAGTGAGACGGTGCCGCCTGGCTAAGTTAGAAAAGTTCCTGTCACCGGAAGTTGGGAATGGGCCCGTGAGCCGGCTGCTTGGGTGTAGCAGCACGGAGGGAAGCAGCTTCCTTTCTTCTGAATGTAGAAAGAAAAGAAGCCTAAGAATGTGGTTCCTGGCAGTCAGAGCCCGTTGTTTGGTGTAGGTCATTTCGGTATTCTAGAACGTACCTGAGTAAGGCATTAATATGAACTCAAGAGATTCCAAGACGCGTGGCTCGTGTGACCCTCCTGACCTGTGGGAATGGCTGTTGCCTCACAGATCTGTGATTTTGGTTCCTGAACCCAAAGTGTGAGGGGGGCTTTCTGTAAGAAATGTCGGTTAAAGCTAAAATAGTGGGACTTCCGGGAAGTTTTCATGATGGAGCTCTCCTGGAATATGTATCTTTTTTAAAGACTTATTTATTTTTATTGAAAAGTCAAATATAGAGAGAGAGGAGGAGAGACAGAGAGAAATATCTTCCATCCAATGATTCACTCCCCAAGTGGCCGCAATAGCTGGTGCTGCGCCAATCAGGAGCCAGGAGCCTCTTCCTGGTCTCCCACGCAGGTGCAGGGTCTCAAGGCTTTGGGCCGTCCTCGACTGCTTTCCCAGGCCACAAGCAGGGAGCTGATGGGAAGCAGGGCCGCTGGGATTAGAACCAGTGTGGGATCCCTGCTCATTCAAGGCGAGGACTTTAGCCGCTAGGCCACATCGCCGGGCCCTCTCATAAAATCTTAAGCCATTGAAACAGTCTTTTCCATCCAGCTGCCTAACGCTGGTAAGCCGTATCACTAGTCAGGCTCGAGGGAGAGGACAGAGAGCAGTGGAGTGCCCCTGCCGCGGCGGTGCCCAGGTCCTGCCCCTGTGTCCCATGTGGGCCCTGGGCTCGGTGCTGCCCTCCGAGGTGGTGGCATGCACCTGGTTTCCTGAGCAAGCACCACTGCCTCCCAGTTGTTGCGACGCCAGGGTCAGGGGTCACAGCTGGAAATGGAGCTCGGATGCAGTCACTTTCATAACTAAACTGAGTGCTTACTCTGAGCTCAGAGGTTTTATTCTAAAAGGTTTATTTTTCTTTTTTTTCCACCCATTTATCAGACAAAATCTCTTCCTGGTCCTGAGAGATTCCTATGGACTGGTACAAGTTGTCATTCCCCAGGATGAGGTAAGGAAAGTTTACTACTGTCAGCTAAAATCACATATGACATTACTAGTCGGATGAGCTAAGTGGTTTAGTACGCTTGAAGGTTTAAATTCCAAAGTTTATTTTTGAGAACTGAAAACTACCATAAGCCGTGTGAAGATGCTTAGAGAAAGGCTTACTTGTAACACATGACGGATGGCAGGCTAATCTGACCCTGATAAGACTGCCTTAAAGGAGGAAAGACCAAAGCCTCGGGAGAATTGTGAGCCCAGAACATGAACACAAAATGTACAGAAAAGGAAATGGAATAGGTAGAGAAGTGTGAATTAGAACTACGCAAACTGTATAGAAGGGTAGTTTTTTGTTATTGTTTTTTCTTTAAAATTTTTCTTTCCAAGCCCATTGCGGTAGCCTGGTAGCTAAAGTCCTCTCCTTGATTGTGCCAGGATCCCATATGGGCTCTGGTTCTAATTCCAGCCACCCCACTTCCCATCCAGCTCCCTGCTTGTGGCCTGGGAAAGCAGTCGAGAATGGCCCAAAGCCTTGGAACCCTGCACTGGTGTGTGAGAGCTGAAAGAAGCTCCTGGCTCTGGATCAGTGCAGCTTCGCCTTTGCGGCCATTTGGGGAGTGAAACAGAATGGAAGATCTTCCTCTCTATATATCTGACTTTCCAATAAAAATAAATAAATCTTTTAAAATAAAAAAGTATATTAAAAAATTGCATCTGTATATCACATTGAATCTGTTAAAAACTTAAAAAAATTTTTTTTAATTAAAGTGACAAAATATTTTTAATATTTGTGCTGCTGAAGTGAGCACATGGCAAAATATTTTTAAAAACAGATCCCTGTGGCTCATTGGCAGTGTTGATTTGGGTTGTGTTAATTTTTGCAAATGTTTATATCCCTGAGATGTGACTCACTGAGGTCTTAACTGGTCAAAGAAACGAAAGGGGCGACCTCTGCAGGACCCCGGCGCGGCACAGCGGCCCGCCCCGCACACTGCCTGCGCCCCAGGGCCGCTGCTAGAGTGAACTGATCCGGACTCGTGCAAGTGACAGTGGCTTCTAATGTCTGTCCGAAACGAATGTGTATTTGCGTTAGTGATGGTGCTCGTTTCCCTAGGAACTCTGGCATTATAGCTTTACCTGCTGTGTTACTTGGCGCAGAGGAGGTGCACGGTACCAGTCTTGTCGTATGGTCCTGGGTAACCCAGGACTTCCTGAGTTAGGACTCTCGGTGTGCTGCGAGTGTGTGTGACTGTCTGCGGCCTCACTGCTTGCCTTGCGCTTCCCCCCCTGCAGTCGGCTGCCTCAGTGAAGAAGGTTTTGTGTGAAGCCCCCGTGGAGTCCGTGGTGCGGGTGTCTGGGACAGTCATTCCCCGGCCTCCAGGACAAGAGAACCCGGTTAGTACCAGAGCACCGGCCGCAGCTCCGTCGGCGTGCACCTGTGCTGTGCACGGGCAGATGGGACGCTGCTGGCCGTCGGGCTTACCTGGGGGCGTTCTACACGTGGAACTACACACTCCAGAATCTTCGCTGCAGACACACACCTGCCTAACCCCAGGCCAAGGCAATTCTTGGTGCTGACAGACACGTGCTGACATTTGTGGGTACGTGAGAATGGCAGTCATTGCTGCAAGTCCGTCTTGTAATGACACACCGTCAGACTGCAGTCTACAATTGGCTTTAGAATCTGAGTTGTCCTCATGTCCTGACAAATCGTTTTTAACTTTTTTTTTCTTTCTCCAAAGAAAATGCCAACAGGTGAGATTGAAATCAAAGTTAAAACAGCTGAAATTCTGAACTCCTGCAAGAAGCTGCCCTTCGAAATTAAGGACTTTGTGAAGGTACCTCCATCTCTGTTTTTAATCAAAAAGGAGTATATGAAAAATGTTGATAGCCAGTAAAGTATTTCAGAGTTTCTTCTATAAAGTTAAACCTTTCATTACAGCAGTGTCATGGATTGTTCTGATTCTGCATTGTTTTTGTTTGTTCAGCTGCGTGGCCAGCACCCTTGTGGGCTCCCGGGAGTGAACGTGGCAGGCAGTGGCTTTACTCGCTGTGCCACAGTGCTGGCCCTCGGTCCGCCATTGTTATAAAATGACTGATTTACTTAGAAAGCAGAACAGTAGAGGGAGATGAGTCATTCACCACTGACTGCCCGCGTGCGCACAGCAGCTGGCGCGGAGCGTGGTGGCCCCGGGCTCCGTCTCCCACCTGGGCAGCTGTGACAGCACCTGCCAGCCAGGGTGTACGGCAGCAGAGGCTGCCCTGGGAGCGGACCCAGGACTCGGTGGGGCCTCCGGGACGGGGGCAGCTTAACCCCTGCCCCAAACGTCCCCTGGTGTGAGGTTCTAATGTGGTGGCAGTCGTTAAGTTTTTGTGGTATCTTGTTTTTTTAATTTGAGACAGAGATAGGGAGAGAGTTCTCCCACCCGCTGGCTCACTTTTCAAATGCCCACAGTTGCCAGAGCTGGGCGTGGTCAGACCCAGGACAGCCCAATCCAGCTCTCCCCTGTAGATGGCAGGAAGCCAGTGAGGCTGCCTTGCTGCTTGGCAGGGTGCACGTTAGCAGGAGCTGACACCCAGACTCGAACCTGTGTGCGCAGACGAGGCCCCCCCGGGGATAGGCACCGTGCCATTCTCCTTACCTGGAGTGTTTTTTTCAGACAGGTTGGAATTTGATTCTGTGTGGAATTAAGACTTGAACAGTTGACTTATTTGAGTTTTTTTGGTTGCTGCTTTTTATTTTGAAATAAGATTCGTATCTGGCTTTGAAATGACCAAGTGGCATAAGGGAGTCTATTTACTCTCTTTTTACTCTTATTCCCAACTGGTTAGGGCCTTCCTTAAAAAAAAAAAAAGGTGTGTGTGTGTGTGTGTGTGTGTGTGTTTGAAAGACAGTGTTACGAAGAGGGAGAGACAAAAATCTTCATTCATTGATTCACCACCCAATTGGCCACAGTGGCCAGGGATGGCTGGGCCGAAGCCACGAGCTTCATCAGGGTCTCCCACCTAGGTGCAGGGGCCCAGGCACTTGGCCACCTTCCGTTGCCTTCCCAGGTAATGCAGCTGAGATCCCAACCAGCACCCCTGTGGCGTGCCAGCTTTGCAGACAAGCAGTTAACCCACTGTGCCACAGCGTCAGAGCCTAGCAGCTGGAGCTCACGGCACTGAGTACACACAGATGGTTTTCAGCTCTGTCAGTTACACACTTGTATACTTCATTTGTAGATGCATTTAATAAGGGATGATTGAATTAGCTATGCAGCCACTTCGTCTTACCTGTCAGTTTCCGATACATGATCCTTTTCATTAGGAAAAGTGTAGAGTTACAGCACTGATGCATATTTCCCCAGGTAAGTTGAGGTGTCAGCATCCATTCAGGTGATAAACTCAGCGTTGTTTTCAAAGGTCTTTGGATTATATGATTTTTTTTTTCAAGGCTGAACTATGAACTTTAATGAATGGGTAAATGTTTAGTAACGTAGGTAAATTTCAGTCAGGGAAAGGTGATGGTAATAATAATGGATAGTAAACCATGTAGAATCTGTAGTAACAGCAAATGTTACTGCTGAAGCTGACGGGGGACTGCGGGCGCACATGGCAGCGGCCTGCCTTCGTGTCCCTTACCCATACAGGCTGGAGACCCCGCGAAAGTTCTGCAGAATTCAAGCAGCATTTCTAAGCACGTTTCTCTGTCGCTTTGCGTAGAAGACGGAAGCGCTCCGCCTGCGGTACCGCTACCTGGACCTGCGCAGCTCGCAGATGCAGCACAACCTGCGCCTGAGGTCGCAGCTCGTCATGAAGATGCGGGAGTACCTGTGTAACCTGCACGGTGAGGGAAGAGCCGGCCACCCCGCAGCTGCGCCCCTGCGCCTCTGCAGAGCCTCCTGGGCGCCCGTGGCTCGGGTATTGTCCCCGGAAGATCAGAATTGACCCGTGGAGAGCAGCTTGTGAAGGAAACGGCTAAGATCCGGTGAGGGAGGGCTTGTCCTGCCCCGAGTGTAGCTGAGGCACCTGCTGCCCCTTGGGTCCCATCGGCGAGGCAGCAGTGCCCGTGCCTGCTTGGCGTGCTCCCTGTCACGTTTCAAAGTAAGAAGGCCCCTTGTTTGTTGCTCTTTATTTGTCTCTTGTTCATTTTGCTTATACGTGATTTGTTGGGCGCTCCGAAAAAGCCTGTGAATTAAACTAAGCATCTCAGTTGGGCCTGGGTTTTCTGTTTTCCTGCCGTGGGTTTTTTGCTATACTCGCAGAGTATCTAAGAAGTCAGAATAGTTCAGTAGACAAGGACCTATGGAACAGTTTAGAATTATTTCCAAAGTTTATCAGCTCTATGAGCACAGTAGGATTCCACAAGAAGCTGTTAGCTCGCTCCTTAGATCCGTAGAACACACCCACGGGATTGACAGTTTATTTCAACCAGAATTCCTATATTGTAGTTGTCCTATTTGGCTAATTCCAAATCCTTGTCTGTTAAATTCTGATGTTTCTTTTTAGGATTTGTAGATGTAGAAACTCCGACACTGTTCAAGAGGACCCCGGGGGTATGTATGTTCCCTCGGCCTGGTAATCATGTGCTACTAGTTTTGAAACTGGACCACTTTGCCTTTTTATTCACTTAGTGCACTTTTATTTTTATCTTATTTGTTGCTCCATTATGATCAAAATAACTAGATTCTTTTTTTTTTTAGAAGTTGTGAACAGCATGTGTCATTATTTTTAGTCCTAATCCTTTGTCTCCCGTGAGTTTCCTTTGCCTGGATGTTTAGAGGTACAACTCACTGAGGAGTAACTCCTTCCACCCAGACCCCGTCTTCACTAACAAAGTTCCCACTTGACTTAGAGAAGCAGTGTTGTTGTATAGGAAATGCACAAAAGTCAGTCAATAACAGAATTGGGAATTCAGTTCAACAAGCGTACATTTAATACCAACTGTATGCAAACAGTTTTTAAAGGCTGTTAGGTGCGAGTCATCAGTGTGTGGGAGTGACTCATGAGTAACAAATTCTCTCTGTTTTGAGAACTTTTGTTTCATTAACTTCCTTGATAAGGTGTTATACAATTATACCTTGTTTCTTTTTGTTTTTAATGATGCCTCTCTTCTCCCCGGCTCTCTTTGGAAGGGTGCCAAAGAATTTTTAGTGCCATCCAGGGAACCCGGAAGGTTTTATTCCCTCCCTCAGAGTCCCCAGCAGTTTAAGCAGCTTCTGATGATCGGCGGTTTTGACAGGTGAGAGGAAGCAGGCAGCCTCTGGCTCCCTAACATTAGAGAACTAAGTAACTTCAGAGGTTACTTACAAAATACCCTGGGGCCTGGCGTGGGAGCCTGGGGGCGAAATCCTCACCTTGCAAGCCCTGGAATCCCCTGTGGGTGTCACTTCACATCCCGCTGCCCCACTTCCCACCAAGCTCTCTGCTGTGGCCTGGGAAAGCAGTAGGGGACGGCCCAAAGCCTTGGGAGTCTGCACCCGCGTGGGGGACCTGGAGAAGCTCCTGGCTTCGGATGGGCTCTCTGGCCGTTGTGGCCACTTGAGGAGTGAACCAGCAGGTGGAAGATCTTTGTTTCTGTTTCTTCTCTTTTCCACAAATCTGATCTACCTTTCCAGTCAATAATAATAATAATAATAAAGCATGTGTCTTCCTGCAGTCGTCCCCGAGTTAACACTGTTTTCAATTCTAGGTATTTTCAAGTTGCTCGATGTTACCGAGATGAAGGTTCAAGACCAGACAGACAGCCTGAGTTTACTCAGGTACTGAGTCACATTCACTAGGCCATGATGAACGCAGGCTGATCACAGCTGAGTGTTTCAAGATCAAGAGAGTATTTGGTCTACTTCACCTCCCATTACATCTTATCTGTTGGATATTTAAACTAACATACCTTTGCACGGCTAATTAATGCTTTTTAAAATCCATTTCATAAAGACTAGTTATCCATTGAGGAATTCTAGGCATTCCTGTAAGGCTTTTATTATTATTATTATTATTTAATGTTTATTTTCTGCTTATTTTTCTTAGAGATTTTAAAAATTTATTCGAAATAAAAATAAAGAGAAAAACGGAAGAGTTCTTTTAGCTGGTTCACTCCAGTGGCCATAATAACCAGGACTGGGCCAGGCCAGTGTCAGGAGATCCTTGCACGTCTCTTACGTGGGTGACCGTCCTCTGCTGCTTTCACCGGCATGTTGGCGAGGAGCTGGGCCCACACCTGTGCGCATGCGCTGCTAGCTCCGCACGCCTCGGCTTAGGGTGCTGCACAGCCTCGGCCCTCCTACGGTGCTTTAATGTTCATGCTATGACAGGGTTCTTAAATCTCTCGAGTATAAAGAACTAGTCATTCTGTATGTTGGTAGTTATCTAATCTGTGGACTTACCAAAGTCCTTAAGGTTTGGTGTCTGTATATAAAAATGTGTTGTTGGACGTGGAGAAGTACAGCAGTCCTGAGGTGGCCTGCCAGGAGCGCTTGTGGGAACGAAGCAGTTACTGTGTGTCAGACGCTGCTAATGCCCGACACGCAGATTTATCACCCAGATGTGCAGTAAGCGTTCTCTGTACGCAGCCTGTGCAGAATCCCTTCGGACGTACGAGCAGAAAAAGGCCTGTGTGGTGGCTGCCACAGTTAGTTCCTGTGTGTTACTTTGGTTTCAGATTGACATAGAGATGTCCTTTGTGGAGCAGGCCGGGATCCAGCGTTTAGTCGAAGGCTTGCTGCAGTACTGCTGGCCCGGCGGCCGAGCTGCGCTGGAGGCTCCCTTCCCGTGCATGTCTTACGCCGAGGCTTTGGCCACGTATGGAACTGACAAACCTGACACTCGCTTTGGGATGAAGGTACTCCTGCTTCCAGGACTCCACCCCCACAGCACTGCATCCTCTCACACCAGTCTGCAAGTTGCCAGTGTTACAAAGTGTTACATCATAGTTTTGCTGTCACCTTTGTTGTTGTTGTGATAACAGGAGGGAATAACAGTGCTTTAGTGTTATAATTTTTGCTATCTGCTGTGTTCCAAAAAGTTTTTTGATTATAGTACTTAACAAGCTTTTAAGGATATTCATTCCCTTTTATTTAGATTTTCTAATTGATTTAATTTTTATTTCTATTTGAAAGGTAGAGTTAGAGAGAGAAGGGGAACAGAGAGGGTGCTTTCCATCTGCTGGTTCACTCCCCAAATGACCACAAAGGCGGGACCTGACGTCAGGACCCAGGAGCTGCTGCTGGGTCTCCCACATGGGTGCGGGGACCCAAGGACCTTGCCCAGGCCACTGGCAGAGGCCGCACCCACTAGGCTACAGTTCCCCTCTTTTTGTAGGTTTGTTAATTTTTGTTTGTTTGTTTGTTTTTCTTGTTTTACTTAAAATGGTGCTAAGAAGGCAAATGATTAAGAATTTCCTTTTGCATAATCTATGAAGAGCGTAAACATGTGAGAATGTTCATTCAGGGTTTTTTCTTATTTATTTGAGACAGAAAATAGGTCTTCCTTGCACTGTTCCCTCCTCGAATGCCTGCGTTGGCTGGGCTGGGTCAGGCCCGTCGTGGAAACTGGGAATGCAGTGTGGGTCTCTTGGGGGTCACTGGCACTGCCAGCTCCCCAAGTTTCTATGGTGGGGATGCTGAGTCAACCTGGGCACTTTGGGACCGCATGCCTGCTCCCTGTTCAAATCAGTATTAATACCTATCAACATTGAGGGTGGAAGCTGAGCAGTCTCATCATCAGGAATCCCAGTATTTGCTCTTAGAGCGTAGTATCCCTTGATTCTATAATGACATTTCTGTATCGCATTCCTTAGCATAAATCACTTACAGACTGATTTCTGCTCTAGGAATGATTGGTGCTCAGATTTAAAATGAAAAATATATGCAAAATAAATAACAGCTTACCCATAGCTACTAACTTCACTGTTTCTTTATGCTGCTGAATGATGCAGTAAATCTTTTTAAGTTTTGTTTTTGTTTCTTAATTTGAAAGGTAGGTAGGGGTAGAGAGAAGAGACAGATCGTCCATCTGCTGGTTCCCTCCCCAAACAGACACAAAGGCCAGTGCTGGGCCAGACTGGATCCAGGACCCCGAGCACTGGGCCATCTTGCTCTGCTTTCCCGGGCACGTTAGCAGGGAACTAGATGGGAAGCAGAGCAGCCAGGGCTCGAACCAAAGCTTGTATGGGCTGTTGGCATCACAGCTGCCAGCTTAGCTTGCTGAGCCACGACACCTGTCATTTAGTGCCAAGCCTCCTGGGCAGTTACTTCTGTGTCTGTGCCATGAGACGGCACATCATCTGTTAAATGGGGACAATCGGAGTGTCCTGCTGCCTGCACATTAAACCCGTGGGTGTACCTGAGTGTGTCTGTCCTGAGGACCTAGGGAGACATTCCGGAATCTAGCAAGACCTGTTCTTTTTTTTAAGATAGGTTTTCTTTGAAAGGCAGAGTGACAGAGAAAGGGAAAGAGACGTGTTTCATCCACTCGTTCACTCCCCAGGGGGATTAGACCAGGCCGAAGCCAGAGCCTGGAATTCCGTCCGATTCTCCCCGTGGGTGGCAGAGGCTATCCAGACACTGGGGCTGTCTGTGCCTTTCCCAGGCATTCACAGGGAGGTGGATAGGATGCCGAGTATCAGGCACCTGAACCAGTTTTGCTATGCGAAGGATGGCAGCATGACAGTGGCTTTACTCCACTGCAGTGAGTCCGCTGCACCACAGTACCGGCCCCATTCCCTTCTGTTACAGTCTTACTCGTAAAAGGCTTTAACGTAAAAATTATCTCAGTTTAGTTAATTGTTTTTGTTAACCCATTTTCCAGATTGTAGATCTCAGCAGTGTGTTCAGAAGCACAGAGGTTCGACTCCTTCAAGATGCACTGAATAAGCCCCAAGGAACTGTCCGGGCCATCCGTGTCCCTGAAGGAGCAGTGAGTAGACACGGCTCGCTCTTCTCTGAAATCGATGTGGGGAGGTGCATGTGTTAAACAGGGACACACTTCAACTTCAGAAAGGACGGTTCTGTTTATTTACAAATGCGCGTTCTATGTGAAGCCTATCAGTGTCCCTAAAACTCACACGAGAACAGTAAAATTTTACCAATCTCAGTTTTCTTTCAAAGTCCACAGCGTTTTTTGCTTTTAAGTAATGCTACAGTGTACTGCCATACCTCACTGGGGATATCTTGGTTGGAAACACGAACATAAAATAGTAGCCACTGTTCTCTCTCTAGCCCCAGTTTATCCAGAAGCTTGGAGTCCCATGTGAGCACAGCCCTGGCACGATTCTTGGTCTTAGTTAAGGAAGTGGAGGAAGAGTGAGGGAGGAGAGTCGTGGACTCGGAGGTGCTGGAACATGTCATCTTTCTGTACTTAATCCACCTGCTGAAGTAACTTTTAAGGGCTGCTCCAGTACCGTTTGAAGAAGACCGCTGTTTTGGATATATATGCATATTAATTTGTTCAGGATGGGTGTGAGAATACAACTTAGGACTTTTCCCTCACTTCCATGTTCAGTGCCCATACTCCAGTCCAAATATAGCAGATGTGTTTGGGTACACTGGGTCCGTATGGTCCAACACACTGCCATTGATTATTTATTAAGATTTATATATTGTTTCATTGGAAAGGCAGACTTCCAGAGAGGAGAGACAGAGGGAAAGATCTTCCATATCCACTGGTTCACTCTCCAAGTGGCCACAATGGCCAGCTCAAAGCCAGTGTGAAGCCAGGAGCCTCCTCCAGGTCGCCCATGTGGGTGCAGGGGCGCAAGGCCCTGTGCTGTCCTCCACTGCTTTCCTAGGCCATTAGCAGGGAGCTGGAAGAAAAGTGGAATAGCCAGCACATGAACCAGCGTCCATCTGGAGTCCCAGTGCTTGCAGGGGAGGATGAGCCTGCTGCGCCGTCTTGAGGGGCCCTACTTCATCTAGATTATGTCTCTGCAAGTCAATAGAACTATGAGATTGCAAATTAAAACTTCACTGTTTTGGGCCCGGCACGGTGGAGCAGTGGTTAAGGTCCTCACCTTGCACGCCCAAGATCCCATATGGGCACCGGTTCTAATCCCGGCAGCCCTGCTTCCCATCCAGCTCCCTGCCTGTGGCCCGGGAAAGCAGTCGAGGACGGCCCAAAGCTTTGGGACCCTGCACCCATGTGGGAGACCTGGAAGAGGCTCCTGGCTTTGGATCGGCACAGCATCGGCCATTGTGCTCACTTGAGGAGTGAATCATCGGACGGAAGATCTTCCTCTCTGTCTCTCCTCTCTGTATATCCGCCTTTCCAATAAAAATAAAATAAATATTAAAAAAAAAAAAATTCACCATTGTATACCTTACATACAGAAATGCCCCATCAATACAGTTACTGTGGTAACTATAATGTCACCCATAAAAAAGCGTTGAGATCATTTAGAAAAAGTAAAATTCAAGAATTATTAAGAACTCGAAATACATCAAATTCTGCATCTTAATTGAGCTAAAAGTAGTAGTTTTTCTTTTGTAATTCAGTTGTAGGCTCATTTGGAACATTTATTCTCTGTCGCATTTTCAGGGCCTTGTTTGAAATGGTTGGGATCTGCGTAATGGGGCAGTAGCAAGTCCCGTGAGGAGCTTTAGGACTATGTCCTTGCAAAGCTGGGATTAAATTTATGTTAAATCCTATTGTGACGGGAAGACACAAGCTTTATGTTCCATTTGCTACTCTAAACTCTTAGGAATCTAAGTGCTGAATTGACGAGTTCACTTTTTCTTTCACCAGAAATACTTAAAAAGAAAAGACATTGAGTCCATTAGGAAATTGGCAGCTGACCACTTTAATCAGGTGAGTTTTTAGAACAGTTTTCTTTTGGGTGTTCAGTATTCTTAATGATTGCATGAGCTCTCAAGCTGGGGTGTGTGTGTGTTATTTATAATGTTAGTGTATTTATTGAAAGGCAGAGCAACTGAGAAAGAAAGCGATCTTCCTGTTGGGTTGACTCCACGGATGCCTGCTGAGAGCCGGGCTAAGCCAGAATCAGGAGCTCGGTCCTGGTGTCTGACGTGGGTCCAGGGGCCGTTGTCCCCTGCCTTCCCATGAATATGGAGAGGAAGCTGCATTGGAGGTGAAATAGCCAGGATTCAAACCAGCACCCTGACAGCAGATGTGGACGCCGCAAGCAGCAGTTTAATGCACTGTATCACAAGTTTTTGGGATACTTGTTTTTGCTTCTTTGTGAGGATAAATTTTCTTTTTTTTTGTAAAGCAGACTTTAAAGAGAGAAGGACAGACAGAAAGATTTTCAATCTGCTGGTTCACTCCCCAAGTAGCTACAATATCCAGAACTGAGCCAGTGCGAAGCCAAGAGCTAGGAGCTTCCTCCCGCATGGATGCAGGGTCCCAAGGCTTTGGGCCATCCTCTGCCTAGCTAAGCCACAGGCAGGGAGCTGGAGGGGAAGTGGAGCAGCTGGAACACAAATTGCAGGCAGATGATTCATATCAGCCCCAGTTAAAGCACCTGTTATTTCAAATCATTCTTTGGCTTTTCTTCTGCTCATGTTTTTTAAGATTTTTTTTTTTTAATTGGAAAGTCAGACTTACAGAGAAAGGGAGAGATAGAGAGAGAGAGATCTTCTATCCATTGGTTCACCACCCATGTGGCCACAACAGCCAGAGGGAATCTGATCCGGAGCCAGGAGCCTCTGTTGGGTCTCCCACACGGGTGCAGGTCCCAAGGCTTTGGGCCGTACTCCACCGCTTTCCCAGGCCACAAGCAGGGAGCTGGATGGGACACGAACCACTGCCCATATGGGATTCCGGCATATGCAAGGAATAGCTACTAGGTTACTGTGCAGGGCCCCTTGTGTTCATTTGTAGAGTGTGATTCTGAGACGTCAGCCTGAACAACCTACATCAGCATTAAGTAGAATGGGAGGAGAGGTATTTGGCATCACTCCTGCATTCCATACAGAGGGCCTGGGTTCAGATCCCACCCCGCCTTCCTGCTGAGATGCTCCTGGGATCTAAGCTGTCCGTGTGGCAGACTGGCTTGTCCCAGCTCCTGGGCTCACAGGGCGTCACGGCCTTGTGGAATGAGCGTGCACCCAGGTCTTCTGCAGCTCTGGCATCTGGCTGCAGCTTCCTGCTGATTTCGGGCCTGGAGGGCAGCATCATGCCCAGCAGGTGTGTTCCCATCCGTGCGAGAGCCCTGCACCGAGTTCACGGATCTTTTGTGGCTCAGCTGAGCATGTCTCGGGCGCTGGGGAGTGAAGCAACAGATGGGAGTTGCTCTGCCTCTCAAAAATAAAGGACAGTTGTCTGGCCTTGTGACTGAAACACCCCACCACACGTCAGTGCGTGGGTTCAGTGCCTGAATGGGACTCCTGAGCACAGCTTGCTGGATGGAGTGCTCGCCTCCCAGCCGGGGCCTGGCCGCTGTGGACGTGGGCCAGCTGAGCCAGTGACCGGGCTGTGAGTGCTCCCCTCCAGACCAAGTTAGGAAGATGAATAGATCTGACGTGTGCGAGGGTGACGTCATTGCCCCGTGCTGTTTTTGAGTCTGAATCTGCCTTTGGCAGAGTTTGTGTTCTTGGCCTAGTGCACGGTAATCCTAAGATAGAGAACCAGACTAAGTAAACAGTGGTTAAGAAGTTGAATTACTTATCCAAAAGGCAAAGTACAGAAAAAGCATTCTTTGTCTTTTTTTGTTTTTCTTAAATTTATTTTTATTTGGAAGGAAAATCACAAAAAGAGAGAGGTCTTCTATTTGCTAGTTTTTGTTTGTTTTAATGCTGCAGTTTGTTTAATCTTGGGCAGTTTTTAGTTGTCTGTATGTATTTAAGAAAGGCTTTTTCTAAAAAAATTTTTGTTTTTACGTGTCTGAAAGGCAGGATTACAGAGATCTTCTCTGCTGGTTCATTCCCCCAAGTGACTATAACAGCCAGGAATCATCAGGCTGAGTGAAGCTTAGGGCTAGGAGCCTCTTCCAGGTCTCCCATGTGGGTGCAGGCCCAGGACCCAGGCCATCCTCCCCTGCTTTCCCAGATGCATTTTAGGGAGCTGGATTAGAAATGGGACAGCCAGGACTTGAACTGGCACCTTTATGGGACACTAGCAGTGCAGGCTGTGGCTTAATCTATATTGCCATCGTGCTGGGCCCTAAAAAAGGCATTTTCAAAGCTGCTTGGTAGCACAGGGCCCATGGATGGACTTTACAGGTGGTCAGCTTTAATTGTAGGTGCACAGCAAGGACCCTGGCTGCCACGCGGGGCAAAGCGCAGGAGTGCCACGCCTCTCCAGCACCCTGGAGGGTAAGATCGGCTCCTTGGCTTCTTTGTCCTAACTTTTTTGAGAAGTAGACAGAGACACCTCCCGTTTTTGATTCTTAAATCTTTGCAACAGCTAGAACCAAGCGAGGCCAAAACCAGGAGCCAGTTGTTTAATCCAGGTCCCCAGGTTCTCGCAGTCACCTGCCTCTTCCTGCGGCACGCAGTAGCAGGAAGCTAGCCTTGCCAGCACACGCAGCTCTGGAGTGCAGTCACTCCAGTGTGGGATACGTGCGTCATTTCTTGGCCAAACATGCACACACCCCAAATTCTACTTTTCTAGAAAAACATAAGTCTTTCTCAATCGCAGGAAGTCTTACCTGTATTTCTGAACGCCAATACAAGCTGGAATTCTCCAGTAGCCCGATTTATAATGGAGGAACAAGGATTGGAAGTAATCAGACTAATGGAGGTCCAGGAGGAAGATGTGATCTTCCTAACTGCTGGAGAACAGAAGACATCGGTAAGAAAAATTACCATTAAACGTGTGTTGCTGATGTTGAATAATGTCTGGCTTCTCGTGTACGTACCGCATATGTGAAATGGGACTGCTGTGCGTAACTCGTAGTGCAAGCAAGTATCTTCCGGGACTTTTATACCTTTTTCCTGTCAGCTTCTCACTTGTGTTGGCATTGTTCCCTCAGATGAGTTCTAGTTAGAACAACAACTTGGGTAGAGGGTTGTTAATTGCACAGCCGGGAAAAAAAAAAATGTCCATTATCAGAATTTTGAAGATGAAGACATGTGGTAGTCGCATGTTTGTGCGTGATGCTTTGCTAAGGATGCGGAGGGAGAGCGCTGCAGCCCTGCGCCCCTGGGTCGAGGCCAGCCGTGTCCGCAGGGGCAGCAGCCAACAGGCTCTGGCCCGCTCTGCAGGACTCAGCCTCAGGGAGCTGCTCCCTGGCCGCTCCTCTATCCGGATGGCCTGGCCTCAGCACCCAGGGTTCCAGTGAACCACCCACTCTGCATTTGTGTCTTCTGCTCGCAGTGCTCTTTGCTGGGGAGACTGCGGCTGGAATGTGCTGACCTGTTAGAAACGAGAGGAGTGGTGCTGCGCGACCCGGCTCTCTTCTCTTTCCTGTGGGTGGTGGATTTCCCACTGTTCCTTCCCAAGGAGGAAAATCCCGGAGAGCTGGAATCAGCCCACCACCCGTTCACCGCCCCCCACCCCGACGACATCCACCTGCTCTACACTGAGCCCGAAAAGGTACCAGGACTGTTTCCGGGTGGCAGGGAATGTGTGAAGTCAGGGAAAGAACTGAACATCGCAGTCTCAAGGGAGATGGGATCCTGTTCTGGACGCCCCCGAAGAAAAGAGCCAGTGGTTCCTGCGTTGTCCTTATGTGCAGGCTGCAGTGTGTTCCAGCTTTAGAGCAGAGGTTGTGGCTAACATGCCGGCCCTGTGGCCCCTCTAGGTGCGCAGCCAGCACTATGACTTGGTTCTAAACGGCAGTGAGGTGGGCGGTGGCTCTATCCGGATCCACGACGCGGAGCTGCAGCAGTACGTGCTGGCAACGCTGCTGAAGGTAAGGCCGCACCTGCCCTCAGCTGTCAGAACTGGTCAGCTTCTCTTTGTGCCTGTAGCGTGAGACTTGAGGAAGGGAATGTGGCCGTGTGTGAGTGCTTTCCGTGTGCTGGGTGCTCCCTGCAGCTCCCGACAGCTCATCCTCACACCTGACCTGGAGCACACAGGTACCCAGGCAGCTCAGTGAGCTTGCCCAGAGTCACACGTCACACAGAAGTAGGACTATCCCGGGCTTCCGACCTCTGCGCTTCTCAAACACAAAGCTGCCTTCCAGATTGCACAGTGTTAGAGAAAGGGACTTGAAAAGCTGTGTGTTACTTTATAGGTTACTGCATTAGCTGTATTTATGGTATATATTAATGGTGGCAAGTGGAGTAATTGGGATTTTATAAAGAAAGCGCCTAGATGTGCACACACCCACCAGTGTGTAGTTTGTTGGCGATTCTCTAGAAGGCTCGAGTAGGCTCCAGAATGAACAGGTCATTGTCTGGGTTAGCTAGCAAGGCTGTGGGACTGAAGGATTCAAAACGTTAGACACTCCCCTTCATTTTAATCGTCCAGTTTGTTATCTTTTCCCCTCTGCTGCATCAAAGCCGCCGCTCGGGGGCGCCAGGCGTCTCCTGGGCGTCATTGCGAAGCTTCAAGCATAGTGCAGTCCGCTTCCCTGCGCCCAGGGATTCGTGCCCTGTTGCACGTTAAAACACAGCAACCTAGAAAGCATTCAAACCACAGTGTTGCGTGGTCCCATGCCAAGCTCACTGGGAAGCTGCCCCTTTGCTCCTGACCTGTAGTCTGCTTGGCCAGGCTGCCCCGCCGCACTCAGTCACCAGCTCCAGGGCTTCTTCTCGGCCCTCGTTCTCTCCTGCCCCCCAGCAGGACCTCCCTGACGCTGGTGCCCGCGGGGCCCACCTGCCTGCCTGGGACCCCTGCAGTAGTAGCTGCATGTGCCAAGTAGCAGGAGTCTTGCTACCTGTTGTCATCATCTTTTCCCAATGATAAAGCCCTTGAAACTGCATTTTTGGCATTTTCCTGATGAATTACTAAGTCACGTTGAGTTTTTCGCATTCAGTCTTATGTTTTTGAGTGAATGGCGCTCAGTGACCTTCAGTCTGTATTTAAATTGAATTATCTTGTGAATTTCAGGAAGATGTGAAATTGCTGTCCCATCTACTCCAGGCTCTGGAGTACGGTGCACCCCCTCATGGAGGAATTGCCTTAGGTAAGCAACTTGTCTTGTTATTTGCTTGTTGATTTATTTGAAAGGCAGAGTTAGAGAGAGACACGTTCCACTGTTGGTTCCCTTCCCCAGTGGCCGCACCAGTCAGGGGCCTGAGGACTCGGGCCGGCCTCCACTGCCTCCCCAGCCATCAGCAGGGAGCTGGACGGGAGGTGGAGCAGCCCTTAGCGGGGAGCTTCATCCACTATGTCATGGCGCTGACATTAACTTTATGCATTTATTTCAGTATTGTGTTTTTTTAAATATGTATGTCACCACTTAATAAAGACAAAAGTAAAATTTACATCTGAAAGGTTTTTCTAATAGAATAAAACTTCAGAATCTCCAGCCAATACTGTTGCTGCTTGGAGCATGCACTGCTCAAGGGCATCCAGCTTGGAGGAAACAGGAGCGTGGCCGTGCCTGCTGCTTGCCAGGGTTATCCTCTTTGCTGCCCTTATCACTCAGGGAAGAATGAGAAGTGCCAGGAAGCCCTCCTAGACTGCAGGCTGGGCTGCTACAAGCAGGACTTTGTGCAGCTGCCTGCAGGGCACTGAGTATCTTGTTCAATCTGTGGTAGGGCTTTTAGTAAATTCCTGCTTAAGACATCACTAATTGGACCCAGCACGGTAGCCTAGTAGCTTAAGTCCTTAACTTGCATGCGCCAGAATCCCATATGGGTGCCAGTTTGAGTCCTTGCTGCCCCACTTCCCTTCCAAATCCCTGCTTGTGGCCTGGGAAAGCAGTCGAGGATGGCCCAAAGCTCTGGGACCCTGCACCTGGAAGAGGCTCCTAGCTTTGGATCAGCTCAGCTCTGGCCGTTGCAGCCATCTGGGGAGTTTACCAACAGGTGAAAGATCTTTCTGTCTCTCTTTTTCTCCGTAAGTCTGACTTTCCAATAAAAATAAGTAAATCTTTAAAATAAATGAACAAAAGAACTCCCTGACTTTGGTGGCAGTTAGTCATGGCAGCTGACTAACTGAGCGCTGTCCCAGAATGAGACAGAAAAGAATCAAACAAAATTCTGTCTGCTTGTGATTTTTTAAGTATTCTTGATTTGAAGCGTTGTGTATCTCGGGTCAGTTTTGTGGGTGTTGCTGACGGGGCAGGTGTTTGGAGAGTCCCTGGGTTTGGTTCCCGGTCCCTGCTCCTGCCGGGACGGCTCAGGGAGTCAGAGGCCTGCGGAGTGAGCCATCAGATGAGGGTGCCGTCTGCTCCCCGCAGGTCAGCAGCAAGGAGCACAGCCCCGTGCAGCCCTTCCCAGCATCCACTGCACTTGTCGGCTGGTAACTTTGTGCTCTACTCACAGGGCTAGACAGGCTGATGTGCCTTGTCACCGGAGCTGCAAGCATCAGAGACGTCATAGCCTTCCCCAAGTCCTTCCGGGGACATGACCTCATGAGCGGGGCCCCGGACTGCGTCCCTCCTGAGGAACTCGAGCCCTATCACGTCCGAGTCTCGTGGCCAGCAGACTCGGCCGAGAACTCAGCCAGCCAGCCACAGCACCAAGAAAGTTGAGCGTTTGCACTTGGTCCTCTTTGCTCCTCCCACGGCTGCGATCCCACCCAGAGGGCTGGCACGAGCGACAGTCAGCTGAAGGAGTCAGACAGCGTTCTTCACGGTGAAGAAGCAAAAGTTCCTGGATTCTGACTTGATAACACGCACCGTTGGAATGTTTTGGTAGGAACCTCATCAAAGTTCCTTCACTCGTGAAAGACAGTTCTCGCTTGGAGTGATGTAACGAATGGCCTAGTGTTTTCTGATTATCTTCTTCATATCCAGATATTCACTAGAACAGATGTGGTCAGATAACATGGGAATATGTCTGTTAGATTGATGAAGGATCATAAATCAGACTTTATACCGACATTTCAGCTGCCAATGTAATACAGAATACAAAGCCTGGCTGAACTGCCAGTCAGGAAATACTCAGTGTTTCATCCTGATCACGTTATTTTCCCTTCCTTCCTGCTTTTGTAAAACGTACATAACTTGCCTTCTGCAGGACAAGGGGCGAGAGCTGGGACTGGGGCAGGGATGCACCTGGCCAGGCTGGGCCGCAGCACCCACCAGCTCCCCGGCTAGACCAGGAGGCTCAGTCCCCGACCTGAGGGAAACTCATAGGCGTATGGTCCAGTCTCGGAGCACCTGTTGTAGGACAGGCCCCCTAGTTGGTGATTACCCTGCAAGAATACAGAGCATACCCAGATGCACTCGGAAGACGACAGCCAGCTCATCTAAGCCAACGGAGGACTCCGAGTACGTCCCAGGGTGGGAAGAAGGGCAGGTTGAACAGCAGGCCAGGCTTTCAGTGAGCACCTAGGTCTGTGAACACTGAGCCACACGTGGACAGCCAACATGCCTTAGAATTTCTCACCTCTAATCAGTGAGGCGGACAACTTCTCATAACAGTCAAAACCATTCAGATAACACCTGGGCACCAGACTTACCCTCTTCAGCTCTCAAAGCTCAAGTCAGACGACATCTCTGTCCTCGGGAGCCGCTGATGTAGTCCGACCATCCCCTCACTTGCCCTGACCAGAATCAGGAAGAGAATAAGGTACTTGGTAATGCGGGTGAAAATGCTTTGAAAAACTGTGTAGGGCCCAGTGCCATGGCCTAGCAGCTAAAGTCCTCACCTTGAATGCGCTGGGATCCCATATGGGATGGTTCTAATCCCGGCAGCCCCACTTCCCATCCAGCTCCCTGCTTGTGGCCTGGGAAAGTGGTCGAGGACGGCCCAGGGCCTTGGGACCCTGCACCCGCGTGGGAGACCCGGAAGAGTTCCTGGCTCCTGATCGGCACAGCACCGGTCATTGCAGCCACTTGGGGAGTGAATTATCGGAGAGAAGATCTTCCTGTCTCTCCTCTCGGTGTATCTGATTTTGCAATAAAAATAAATCTTTTAAAAAATGATATTATCCACCCATAAACAAATACAGGTGTATCTTTTAGGTTGTGAAACAAAACATACCTGTTTTATGAACTGGTACTTTTCTTTGATAAACATCAGTCTTAGCAGTTGAGAATACTAATTTATCTTAAACTAATCCTAATGTGTAAAGGAGAATCAGGCTGTGACTTGACACATTTTAGTGCAAGTAGAAGTGATAAAGTGGAGGAAAGGCCTTCACTGTCTTGAAACGTTCCATACTTAATCTCTTCCCTTGACATTCCTTGGATTTAAATACTGTTTTATACAGGAGTCTTCAGAAAATTCAACAAAGTACACTCTATGAAAAAACTGTATGGATTTCAAATTTTTGTTGCACCAAAACAATTTTATTAGTGTTGATGCTTACATAGTTGTTCAGGGTGGGAAGGGTCAAGGATCAGGGGAAAGTGGGTGAGAGCTTTGTTTATGTATTCGTTTTCTTTTTCCAGTTTATGGGAGAGAGGGGGATACACCGCCGCATCACCCAGGGGATGGCCAGCTGCCCCCATGTCACCCCGGGGATGGCCAGCTGCCCCCCGATGTCACCCCGGGGATGGCCAGCTGCCCCCGATGTCACCCGGGGATGGCCAGCTGCCCCCGATGTCACCCGGGGATGGCCAGCTGCCCCCCGATGTCACCCGGGGATGGCCAGCTGCCCCCGATGTCACCCAGGGGCCCCATTGTAGAGCATGTTCTGGGGGTTCTGAGATGCTGCTGCTATCACCGCTCCAAGGATGAGGAAATCCTCCCGAGGTCGACTAGCTGACACAGTCCCTTCTGAGTCTCCATTGGCCCAGATATTTGCTGTCAGACTTCACTGGGGTAGTTGATGAGCTTGTTCTGCCCTCCATCCTCAGCAAACCAATGGCTGCTGCAACCCAGCCCTGCCCTGCCTAAGGCACACTCAGCCATCACGCACCACAGGGGCAGCTGCAGCCCAGTCACGGTGACCCCCAATAACCACCAATGGACTGGACCCCCAGCTCTAGTTCCTTTGCCTGCCAGCATATGCAGTGGACTTGTCCACTTTGCCCCAGATCCTATTGAAATTTCATATTACATCATTGTCATTGAGGCCTAACTCAACCCAATTCACCACTAATCGGTCACACTCATGCTAAAGGAGCCACCACCTGTCCAGCTGGCCTCGCCTCCAGTCCTGGTCCTCATGCTCACCAGAGCTGCAGCCCATCGGAGGAGCCCATGGCCTCCCCACTGGCCCAGATCTCGCACTCTCCAGGTGGTTCTGCAGTCTAGCTTGGCAAGATTTACCACCAATCCCAGCACTTGCCAGCTGCTGTGTGAGGAAGCCCCACATGCTGTTTACGAATACATAAACAAAGTCTCTTAAGCACCGTGTTTCGCTTTCATGGTTTTTCCTAAGGCTTATTGGAAAGTTTAGACCACAGGGAAGGGAACCTGGTCAAGTCAGAAGCAGTAACCCACCACCCCACCCCAGTATCCTGTATGGATGCTGTTTGGACCATCTGTTGGCTTCCCAGACACGTTTACAAGGAGCTGGATCTGAAGCCAGGACTTGGACCAAGGATGCTGGGATCAGACAGCATTACACTGTACCACAGCACCAGCACCTTCCATTAACTTGTCAGGACATAACTAGGACTGGAAAGCTAGGATAACAAATCCTCTCCCACCTTTGATTAGCCTGTGCAGGTGACACATTTGGCCTAGCAGATAGGCGGCTGGCTAGGATGCAGGTGCAGGCTTGGATTTCCCCGACTACTGTAAAACATCTTCCAACATTCCTGGGACGCGACAGTGGCTGCAGTGAGCTCGAGGGCTGATGCCGCGGTTCAGCCTGCAGCTCTGGGACGGTGTGCCAGGCCCAACTGCCCAGCTCTATTTCAAAGTAACCTGATCTCCCACCTGTTGCCTCACTGTCCTAATGGCTGAGCAGATGGCACAGTTCCAACCATCCTGCCCTGCTTTCACAGTGCCAGCCCCCATGGACTCCACTTGCAACGTGCCTGGGACAGCAGACTCAGCCCAAACCACTCACACTGGACTCCTGACTTTGCAAATGGAGTCCCTGGGAGCTGGCACTGTGGCTCAACCCCAATTCTACACTTGTGATGCATCAGCATCTCATGTTGTAGTGTCCCCCAGCTGCTGTAGCTCAAATCCAGCCCTGCTTGTGGTCTGGTGGCTGGCAGCCCAAAGCTTGGGACCTTACACTCACATGCCAGGTTGGGGAGTAAACCAAATTATCTGCCTTTCCACTCACAGTCTTCAAAAGTGGCTTGATAATTCAAAAATGTGGCAAGAAAAAATAATTTAGAAGCTGTAACCTGAAATACAGGAAGTGCCCCCTGTGCTTCAGCCCAGCAGCTTTGATGCTGCTCCCACCCCACTGCCTTGATTCCATTCAGAAGTTCAGAAGTCGGGCCCGGCACGGTGGGGCAGTAAAGGTCCTCACCTTGTGTGCCCAGGATCCCATATGGGCACCAGTTCTAATCCCGGCAGCCCTGCTTCCCATCCAGCTCCCTTGGGACCCTGCACCTGTGTGGGAGACCTGGTCCCACCACTCATTGACTGCTCAATTTCCCTCCCTCCCCATTCAAGCACAAAACATCACTCCAGATTGTTTGCAAAAATTTATTGCTATTTCAGATGTTCGCCATCTCTCCCACAAGCATGCAACAGCTCCCTGCAAGAAAGACAGACCATCAACCACACAGCAGATGCACACAGCCATGCTAGCGACTGCTGGCCAGAATATCAGATCTGTTAGCCTCTCCATCAGGTTGTCAGTGAGAGAGTTCAAGCGTGGGTGAGATCATCATGTATTCTGGTGTTTAGAATGGATGTTTGTTCTGGCCCTCACCTTTCCTGGGGGTGGCATCTCAGGGCAGTCACAGAAGACCTAAAGACGGAAGGCATGTGTTAGTAATACGAAGATCTTTTGTGTGCAGGGCTTGCTTTCACAGCAGCCTCAGTATTTAGATGGAACGGTTTGCAGGTGATATCATTCTTTTTCATTTGGCAGAATCATCACATCATTGGTTGCATTTCAAGTCACATTCAAATGGACAAAGTGACTGGCTCACCTTCATGTCTCCACGGTAGGGGCACACAAATCCATTAGCTTCTCCAAATGTCCCTCCTTGTTCCTGAAATCAAGTAGTTACAGACTTAGCTGAAGCAACAGCTAGGTTCCCCTGTACGAGTTGGTAGCCAGATACATCAGATAGGAGCGAAAGACTTAGTGCTGCTCATCAGAGCCAGTCAGCTGAACTATGTTCTCATCACTGTATCGGCTTCCAGACCGCTTGCAGAAGGAGCCAAGTCAGCCGTACCTGTGCTTCAAGACCTGGTCCTGCATGTGCCAAGCTCACGTGTCAGACCTGCAAAAATGTAGGCAAACTTAGCAGCAGGCAGTTAACTGACATTTTCTGAAAGCTCTCTGCCACTGTTTCAGTGTAGAATGGAGTCCTCATCCCCTTTCAGAGAGATTCCCATCTGTTAATGTACATCATCAACAGCCTCTTCCTCTCAAACCACCCAAATCTGCAGAGACACACACCTGCAAGCAGGATCCAGGCTCTGCACCTGCCAAGAGTCACTTCCGTGGACCGCATCCCCCGTGCTGGAGGCCCACACCCCTCGATGCCACACTTCTCATTACCCACAGCCTCAGCAATCCACAGGAAGCAACAGGTAGACGACTGCTAGAACAAAAATGGAACTTTCATGAACACTGAATACTAGCCAAATTCGTCTCAAAATTGCATGCGATAGGGTTCTTCAGCACAAACTTGTCCACATGCTCGCTTCAGGTCAGACATTTGATCAACATCATTACAGAAACCCTGGTTAGAGCATGCTCCACGACACTCGGGCCGCAGCCAAGCCGGGGCCAGTCCCCAGGCTGCCGCTGACACCTCCCATGTAACACTTACCGAGTGACAGCCGCTCCAGGCAAAAGCAAGGCCTCACCTAGGAAACAAAGGTGGACCTAAGTGGCCAAAGCCGATGATCACCCCTCAACCCGCAGCTGATACACGCTTCACGTCAGTTAGAGCTAATAAGACCTTCACAGTCCCTCAGTTCTGCTCTATCATCATTCAAGGGTCAGCGATGGTAGCTGGGCAGAATTACCATCGCTGCACTCTGCACCCGGCCCAGGCCTGCTCGCCGTCCAGGCATGTCATCTGCGGCCTCACTGGTTTGCCCAGTCCCCTTGGTCCACAACTCCGATCCTATGCTTACCATTTTCCAGTCCCAGCTTCTGGCGTTAGCACCTACAAAGAGATTGACACTTTAAAGCTGGATGTCGTGCAGTTTACACTACCAGCTACCAGCAGCACAGATACGTCAGTCCAATGATACACATCTTCAAAATCAATCTGATGAACTATGCAAGCATCATAGTATCCGTTCGAAGCTTCCCAGCGGCTCCCATCCCAGTTCCCACAGCCCTGGAATCCTACCCCGTCAGCCGCATGGCTCCAGAGACCCCTCAGCTGCGGACACACGGCCAAGACCTGGAAGAGATGGCTCATGTCGTGTCCCCGCGGCCCCCAGGCTTCTCCGAGTGCCCAAGTCCCGTGCCTCAGCCAAGATATCGGTGGTTACAAGTCTCGTCACACTTGCAGTCAAGAGTAGCAAATATAATGTCATCATTTTGGCACACCGACCTTCAGGCTCATTCCCCAGACCGTTTCTGATCTTACCTCATTTTCTCCTGGTCCTTGGCACTGGCACGGAACTAGAAAAAAAAAAAGCAGACACATCAGCGTGAGAAGCCTCGCCACCACCCCTGGGCGCCACCAAAGCGCTTCAGCCAGCCTCAGAATGTCACTTCTCAGAAATCCCTTCTGTCCACTACTCTTAAGCCATCATGGGCTGACCCCAGGACGTTTCTGCAGCTTTCCCACTGCGCTCACCTTGTCCGCGAGGCCTGTCCAGGCGCGCTGCATCCCCATCTGCTGGGCCTCCTGGAAGACAGGGACAGGCTGGGGGACCCCCGGAAGACAGGGACAGGAGGGGGGACTCCCGGAGGACAGGGACAGGCTGGGGGAGTCCTAGAGGACAGGTTGGGAGACTGCCGGAGGACAAGGACAGGGACAGGCCGGGGGACCCCGGTCGGACGGGGACAAGCCGGACGACAAGGACAGGAGGGGGGGACCCCCGGAGGCCGGGGACAGGCCAGGAGACTCTTGGAAGAAAAGGACAGGCGGGGGGACTCCTGGAAGGCAGGCACAGGCCGGGGGACTCCGGAGGAAAGGCACAGGCTGATGCACCTGCTCGGGCCCCGACCCACCGGGCTCGGAGCGCGTTCAGCACGCCGCACTGCGGCACGCGGCTCCGGGCCCGAGCCGCCATCAGAGCCGTTGGCATTCATCAGCGCTCTCAGATGTCCCTACCAACACAGGCTTCATCAGGGGCGGCCACGTGAGCCGGGCGCCTCCGCCCAGAACCAGGGCCAGGGCGGGCGGGGACTGAGCGTGGGGCGCAATCCCATAACATCCTCTCGGGGAACAAACAGAGGCACCAAGGGACGCACAAGCGAGTCCGCTCACGGCGTCCTCGTTACTGCAAAACACGAACCCAACCCAGAAAACCCGTTCTTAACAGAGAAAGGTACGAACCTGACAGGAAGCCATCGGAGTCCAACCTGGAGAGACTGAAATGGCGCCCGGGCTTCGGTATATATGGGCGCCTTTCCGTGACGTCATGACGCACGCTCCCCGTCTGCGTCCTCCTCTGGCCCGCCCTCCCTCCTCCCCAATCCCACCTCCTTGTCGCGCGGGAGGCTGGTCTCCTTGGCCCCGCCCCACCCAAGCCCCTCCCTCCCCGGCCCCGCCCAGCCCAGCGGAGCACGCGAGGCCCCGCCCACTCCCCAGGCCCCGCCCCGCCTTCCCGAGCGCGGGCGAGCCGAGAGGGGAGGGGTCGCGAGGGGAGCGGGAGGGAGCCGTGAGGGCGAGCGATTTCCTTCCGGCACGTCGCCCGCTCCGGGTGAGGGGGCGGGGGGATTCACTTCCGGGCCGGTGTTCCGGCCCGTTCCGGCCCGTTTCCACCCCCGGAGGTAGGTGTTGCTGCCCGGCCGGCCGAGGCCGCGCTGTGCCCGTGCCCCCTGGCCCCGGGCCCCCCGGCGTTGCCCGGCGCTGCCCGGCGCTGCCCGGCCCTGCCCGGCGGACACACCCCCGCCGCCCGGCCCGCCCGGCTCTCCCTCTGTTGCAGCTCTCGCCCCTGCCCCGCGGACGGGAGACGCTGGACTCCAGGGCCTCCTCCACCTGGGCGGCCGCCGCCAAGAGCCAAACAAAAGTGCTGCTGTAGGCTCCAGGATAAACACGGCTGCGTGCAGGATGGCATCCGCAGAGGCTCTGGTTGGAGTCAAAGTTTCAAAACAAACGAGAACGCTTTGGGAAAAGGTCAGGTTAGCTGAAGTCGGCTCCCGAAAGCCGTGTCTCCACTTCCCCACGCAGTGCCAAGTGCGTGGGGTGTGCGGGGCAGCGCCGAGCTGCCCGGCCCGTCCAGGCACCCGAGAGCCGCGTAGCTAGTGAAGGGCCGGCCTGCAGGGTCCTGGGCGATGGTACGCACTGCTCTGGCCGGTCTGACTGGTGGGTGTGCTCACAGGCTGAAGGTCTCGGCTGGTTAGAAAAAAAAAGAAAAATTAAAAGTTTTGGCCCTACTTGCCAAATGCTTTACTTCATTCTGACCCTGGAGAACTGAATTTCAGCTGTAGGTTTTGGAAGCTGCAGGCAGCTGTCTGAGCATCAGTCTCCCTTAAGGGTCTCCCTTAGTCTCCGTATCTGGGGTGACTCTGTAGAAGTGCTGTTAGCAAGGCCTGTGGGCAGCCTAACTCGGACAGCCAGAAGGACCGGCCCTGTGCTCTTCATCAGCTTAGAAGATAGTAAGCGTAACTAACGTGGTAGAGCACTGCAAAGACATCTATCTCATCATTCCATCCACGTGTCATGGCGTTTCTTTCCAAAGGCTTATTCCCTTCCTCCAAAGAAGAATTCTAAAGTTGTCATGGGACTTTTTATTCTGCAGAAACTTTCTGATGAATACTTTAACTACAGCCAAAGCTGCCCCAGGCGCGTCTCCCACCTCGCTCTGCTCAGCTTGTATTCTGCTGTTACGTTCATTACTATGAAGAGGGTACGGTCACAGCATGGGTGTCCTGGGATCTTTCTTGTTGTGATTAACTGTGTCTTGCTGCACCTCTAAAAGCTCCTTGGTAATTCTGCTTCCACATCTGCAGGTCTGCAGAAAGGTGGCACTTTTTATTTGGAGGGTTTTTAAATTTTACCAGGTAATCGTGGAAGCAGTGGAAGTGTGGTTGTTAACGCACATGCCGTTTCCTGTCGAGCAGGGTTGAATGCCTGCCCGCGGCCTTCCGGCGGGACCATGGAGAAAGGAGGCAACATCCAGCTGGAGATCCCCGACTTCAGCAACTCGGTGCTCAGCCACCTGAACCAGCTGCGCATGCAGGGCCGCCTCTGTGACATCGTGGTCAACGTGCAGGGCCAGGCTTTCCGGGCTCACAAAGTGGTCCTGGCCGCCAGCTCCCCGTACTTCCGGGACCACATGTCCCTGAACGAGATGAGCACCGTCTCCATTTCGGTCATCAAGAACCCCACCGTGTTCGAGCAGCTGCTCTCCTTCTGCTACACGGGCCGCATCTGCCTGCAGCTGGCGGACATCATCAGCTACCTGACGGCCGCCAGCTTCCTGCAGATGCAGCACGTCATCGACAAGTGCACGCAGATCCTCGAGGGCATCCACTTCAAGATCAGCGTGGCCGACGTGGAGGCAGAGTGCACTCAGGTGAGGACCAAGCACCCAGAGAGACCCCCGGAGTCTCCCAGGGTCACCCCCAACCTCAGCCGCCCCCTGAGTCCCCGGCACGGCGCGGCGAAGGGGAACCGGCGGGGTGCGGTGAGCGCGGTGCTGGACATCAGAGAGCTGAGTCCTCCCGAGGAGTCCACCAGTCCCCAGATCATCGAGCAGAGTTCTGATGTCGAGAGCCGCGAGCCCATTCTGCGGATCAACCGGGCAGGCCAGTGGTACGTGGAGACAGGGCTCGCAGACCGTGGGGGCCGTAGTGATGACGAAGTCCGGGTCCTGGGAGCTGTGCACATCAAAACGGAAAACCTGGAGGAGTGGCTAGGGCCCGAGAGCCAGCCCTCCGGGGAGGAGGGAAGCAGCGCCGAAGACGTCACGGCCATGGTCATCGACACCACCGGGCACGGCGCCGTAGGCCAGGAGAGTTACCCCCTGGGCTCAGCAGGACCCAAAGTCGCCCGGCCAACGAGCAGTGAGGTTGACAGGTGAGTTCTGCCTTGGGTCGAGGGACTGTTGTGCAGGCCCACACACAGGGACCCTGGTGCAGACGGCAGGAGCCGCACCTGCTGCGCGTTGGCAAAGCTGCAACTGCACCAGGAGGTCGGCATCTTCCTTGCTTTGTTAAGATTGGTTGATTATTATTGGAAGGGCAGATTGACAGAGAGAAAGATCTTTGGCCTGATGGTTCACTCCCCAAGCAGCCGCAGCAGCAGGCAGGAACTGAGCTGATCCGAAGCCAGGAGCTTCTCTTCTAAGTCTCCCACGTGGGTGCAGAGTCCCAAGGCGTTGGACCGTCCTTGACTGCTTTCCCAGGCCACAGGCTGGGAGCTGGATGGAAAGCGGGGCTACCGAGATTAGAACCGGCACCCGTATCAGATCCTGGCACATACAAGGCGAGTATTTAGCCACTAGGTTACTGCACCAGGCCCGGCATTCTTACTTTTTGTAAAGAGGATGTTCCTGGTAGTGACAGATTCCCAGTGTTGTTCTGAGAACTGCTGCACAGTCCATGATGACTGGGCGTCCTCGGGGTCCCCGGCAGGGAGCTGCTGCCCCACTGGGGCCTGCAGGAGCCGGAATTGGGCTTGTAGAGCTGTTGACTTCTCTTTGTATCTGTCCATCAAATAAGAGAAACACTGATTGTTCTGTTCAAATAAGCAGTAATCCCAAAGAAATATGTTTTGGATTTTTGTATTGCTGTTTTCATTTTAGTTACATTTTCCTTGTTTTGTTTCCTGGGTGAGTGCTCCTGCGGCGGCGAGCCCGAGACCTCTCTCCCTTAGCAGGCCTGTGGCTGCCACGCCTCACTGGTCTCTGCAGAGTCGTTGGGTGGAACTAGCACTGGCTTTACTCTAAGTAAATTGAGAGTAAAAACGTTGACTGAAACAGAGAAGCGAGCTGCGATAGGTTGCAGTGTTGGCCACTGCACCGCTGTGCCCTCAGCGTTGACTGTGTGAACGGTGGGGACTGAAGCAGCTCCTACTGTGGCTAAGCCGGCCTGCGCTGGCATGGCGCTTAGACCCAGAGATCCACTCCACACAGTGCCGTCCTGTGTTAGAACTAACAGAAATGATGACACCTTCACATGCAAAGGGTTTTCAACTCCATGTTGTCGATGCGCAGTCTGAACCATCTACCATGTCGTAATAGGATGTGGAGGGAACAGCCAGCGCTCTGTTGCCACCTGGGAACAAAGTGGTAGACGCAGCTTTGATTGGTTGTTGTGATGTGTCGCAGTGCTGGCGGAGGGGTAGAAAGCTTGTGTTTAGCTTTAGCTTCACATCTCACATGGTCTGTTTGTTGTGCCAGCTTGTATTGCTTCCACTTGTAAGGGCCGACCCTTCTTACCTGAAGTTGGAGTGTGTTACTTGTGAAGTCTGATTTGTGTGACACAGGGGAGATGTCAAGGCGTTGTGTGTCTGAAGCTGCTTTCCTAGGAGTCCCCTTGGTGGTCTCTTCCAACAGGTTTAGCCCTTCTGGCAGCGTGGCCCCCCTGACGGAGAGACACCGAGCCCGCAGCGAGTCCCCTGGGAGGATGGACGAGCCTAAGCAGCCCGGCTCCCAGGTATGCACGTGCGGGAGGGCAGCCTCTGGCTGAGCGGAAGAGGCAGGCTGCAGGAGAAGCTGCACTGGGCCCAGCACAAAGACTGTGTCTCGTGACTTTCTTGATGCTTGCTGAGAAGCACGCGTGGACTCCACGTGTGATGTCAGCAGGCTTTGGAAGGGGGAAGATGACAGAGTGCAGTCTGTGGCCCTGTGGTAATAAAACTGGTCCCTGAAGATTACCTGTAGGTGATGTAGCGCCTGAAATGCAAAGAATCTGCTTTAACGTGCGTGTGTGTGTGTGTGTGTGTGGCTACGATACCATATGTGTGCGTTCATGACTGCTAGCAGACACTGGTACACATTGCGCAGATCCTGTGTGCACTGTAGTGTATGCATTTATTGTTTTCCATGCTTGTATGTTTCCATTTATATTATTTTTTTGCTGAGATTTATTTGGCAGGGCTAGTGATGGAGAGATACACTGAGGCTATGGCGCCAGGCCCCTGCCTTATTTTTTGTTTTTGAAATTCAGAATGATCAACAGGAAAAGAAAGATCATTTGCTAGTTCCTTCCCCCACAGCTGAGTCTGGGTTAGACCCAAGTCTGGCTCAGGAATTCCTCCAGCTCTCCCACGCCGGTGCAAGGTCCCAAGGCTTTGGGCCGTCCTCGATTGCTTTCCCAGGCCACAAGCAGGGATTTGGAAGGGAAGTGGAGCTGCTGGGATTAGAACTGGCGCCCATATGGGATCCCAGCGTGGCCCAGTAAGTAGTAAATCTTAAAAAAAAAAGCTAGAGCCAAAGCTGAGGAACTCCTTCTGGAATGCAGGCGTCCCAAGCAGCAGCTTGACCTGAACTAGCACACCTGACCCTAGGCCTAAGCTTAAAAACAAGATGCTGCCTTGCTTTTTTCTTTAAAAAAAATTTTTTGTTTGTTTCTTAAACATTTACTTATTCTTATTGGGCAGGCAGATTTACAGAAAGGAGAGACAGAGAGAAAGATCTTCCACTCACTGGTTTACGCCCCATGCTGTAGCAGTCAGAGCTGAGCCAATCCGAAGCCAGGAGCCTCTTCCAGGTCTCCCACACGGGTGCAGGGTCCCAAGGCTTTGGGCCGTCCTCGACTGCTTCCCCAGGCCACAAGCAGGGAGCTGGATGGGAAGTGGGGCCGTCAGGACATGAACTGGTGCCCATATGGGATGCTGGTATATATAAAGTGAGGATTTAACCACTGAACCATTGCGCTGGGCCCAAGATTTTTTTGTTTGTTTCCAACTTCACTTTATTTTCTGAAGGACTTACAGAACCTAAAGACTTTATGAACCCCATGTTAAAATGCACCATCTGTAGTGCTGTAATCTGTGGCTCCTGCAGCAGATGAAGGGCGACTGAGGGAGTGGACTTTTTGTTTGCTCTTGAGATTAGTATCAGTTCACTCTCTTGTCATATCTTTTTTTTTCTTCTTCTTCTTATTATCATCATCACTTTATGGTACAATCAATAGGCCCTGGAGTATCCCTTAACCCCTATCCCAGTCCCCTCTCCCACCCAACTGACTTACCCTATATTACTACTGTAGTATACTTCTTCACAAACGGTCATACATCCATCACTGCAGGCATGGACAACAGCAGGGAATCCAGCATCCTATTGTCAAGATATAATTAACAGTTTCATTGGGAGTCCATCTTTGATCTGGAAGTAGAGTTGTATATTGCGTTGTATCCTCACATCTGGATATGATAGTCTCCATTACACACTTACTATATATCCCCTTAAGTGAAAAGCCACAAAACAAATCAACAACAGGAAGGAAAAGAGAAATTAACAACACCATGAAGTTAAATAACATGCTACCGACTAATGTGTTCCTGAAAAAATGAAAAAGAAAATCAAGAACCTTCAAGAAAATGTTACTACTGTGTGATCTATGAGTCAGTGAAGATTTTAATGAGGAAGAAAGTGTTTTGAAGAGATAAAACTAAAAAAAATCAAAATCCATGAGATATAGTTTCCACATATCTTTGCTGGTGAGATATATCTCCAGTAGGCAACAAATAGATGGGTTTTTAGTTTTTGTAATCCAGTCTACTTATTTATCATGTTTGATGAATGAGTTTATTCGTTTACATTCAGGGTTAATATGAATGGGTGGTAATTTGGTCCTGTCATTTTAGCAATGGGTTGTTCATTGATTTAGTCTTCTGTTGTTATTTTACTGGGATGTTCTTCATATTTGCCTTTGGTTTTGGTGGGTGCTATTCCTCTTCTCTGTCAAGAGAACATCTGGTGGGAGGAGCCCAGATAAAGTCAGTGCTGGCGTGGGTACCTTACTCTCCCGGCCATGTGACTGTGGCTAGGAGAACCTATCTGTGCCAGGCTGCCTGCTGGGACCCTAGCTCTCCATCTACTGCTCCTGGTAGGAGGGAGGGTCCTGGGCTTATGGGCAGCCACCCACCAAGTGGCGCTGGGCTCTGCCCGCTGGCCACCTGGCAGCATCCATGGATAAGGACACTACATGTAGGTGAGCAATGAATCATGAAGGACACTCAACGACAAAGTTACTGTACTTGCAGGTAAGTGAGGGGACTGAGACCTAGTGGTTTGGAGGGGAGAGACTGGAAGATTTGTATAGGTCAGACTAATTCACCAGCCCACATGGGAGTCCTGAGGTGGTCTTGTTAGCACAGAGCATCACTGACCACCATACACCACCCCACATGAAAGCTATGGCTGGGGGCTTATCTAACAGAGCTGGATCCCAGTACCTGACTGAGTATTGGAACAGGGGACGGGTCACATTAGGCAGGGCCATGACATTAACAAGCATATAAGAGAACCAGGTCTGGGGGTAGAATTCACAGGGGATAAGTGGGCCGAAGCCTGTGGAAATACAAGTCCCACTGGTCAGCTCAAGAGTTGGGGTGGTGATGGGCTGAACCAGGTATGAACATGGAACACGCCAACGCTCACAGGTACTGGGGCTGAGAATAGACTGAGCAGGTCTAAGCTGCAGCACCTGCATGTGCATCCTAAAACAGAGTAGAGTATAGGTTGGCCTGCAACATCCTCCAGCTCAAAAGCCAAGATGGAGGGGCAGGCCGTGCCGGGCAATGGCCCAGCTCCTGCTGACATGCATGACATCTGGGTCTGGGAGTAGGCTCAGTGGGGGAACCAGGGAAACTCCCCTACGGGATCATAGCTCCCACTGGTGAACACGTGGTCCAGAACTAGGGGGCCGGGCAGGCTGGGCAAAGTAGCCCCATCCTTTGGCAAGTGTGTGGGTTGGTTTTAGAAGGCGGTGGACCAGGCAGGACCAGACATACCATAGCCCACTGGCGAGTGCAGAAACTAGGCTGGAGTGCAGGTCATGCCAGGCAAGGGTTCACACCTACTGGTTTACATAAGCCGGCGATGACAGCAGACTGTGCAGGGCCAGGTTGCAGCACCCACCAGTGAGAGTTGGCATTGGGGACTGGCTGGGTAGGGCAAAGGCAAAAGCTAAGACGGATGAGGGGCTATGCCAGGCCAGGTCATAGCCACCATTGGCATGCGTGAGATCTGTAGATGGGAACAGGCTTGGTTGGGGAGCTAAGGGGACACCCTAGCCTGGGTGTGATTCAAATTGGTGAGTGCAAGGGCCAGAGTGGAGTCTGAGGTCAGGTCTGGATATGGCTGCAGGGGGTACTTTGGCATGGATGTGGGCTGGGTTTGGGTTGCGCCGAACTGGGGTAGAATCCAGCACCCACTGGTGCTCTTGAGAACCTGGGAGGGTATAGCACAAGCTAGGCCAGGCCTCTGCCCCTGCTGAGCTATGCATGAGCTGTGTCTGGGTATGGAGCAGGCTTGGCTGGGCTGTAGCACCCAACAACAAGTTCCGGAATGGGTGAGGGCCAGTCAGAAGAGGCCACTGTCCTATGGGATGGGAGCTGGACTAAGTAGGGCTGGCCCATCGATCCACCAGTGGGTACAAGATCTGCCATTGGGAGAGATCATGATGGAGGAACTAGAGTAACTCTGTCGGGACACGTTCCCTGCAGGTGAGTACAAGAACCAAGACAGGGAGCAGCCCAGACCAGGTTACAATATGGTACCCCAGCATACATTTGCCTCAGGTCTGGGACAGGCCAGGCTGGGTCAGTTCACATCACCAGCTGGAGAATCAGCGCCAGAATGGAGTGTGGGTCGGGCCGGGGCGCAACACCAGCCAGTCCTTATGAGGGCCGGGACCAGGGGCTGGCAGGGCTGAGCTAAGTTGTAGGCCCCACCAGTGTAAGCTGGAATTGGGGGTGGGCCAGGTCCAACCAGGCTATAGTACCCGATGGCAGATGCCGAAATGGGGCAGGCTGAGTCGCAACACCCAACCTGCACATGTGAAACCTGGGGGTGTGGGGATGGACCCAGTAGGGGCCAGTGGGGGTCCCCCTATTGGACCACTACTCCCACGGGTGAGCATGAGAACTGGGATGGGGGCAGACCAGGCCGGCAGGGCACAACATCTGCTGGCCCACATGTGAGCTGGATCGGGGAAGGCCAGGCTGTACTTCCTGGTACATGCATAATCAGAGTGGGTATGGGTTGGTTGGGCTTTGCTGCAACATCAGCTGGCACAGGTGGCAAATTCTGTCAGGAGCAGGCATGGCCAGACAGATGGTGGCACTCATTAGCACTAGCGTGGACTGGCTAGTGGAGCTGATTGGGATGAACAGTGAGTGCTTCAGTGCCCATTGACATGTACAAGAGCCAAGTGGGATATTGGACAGATGGGACCAGTCAGCTGTACATACTGGCAAGCACAGGAACCAGGATAGGGGGCAGGCCTGGTGGGGATTATTGCAGGACACTCCGATGAGGCTACAGCTCCCACTGGTTTGCGTAAAACACGGGACGGGAGACAGACTGACCTAACAGTCACAGCTACTAGTGTGTGTGTAGGCTGATTTGGGTGACAGACTGTGTCTGACCCTGTATTGGCAAACACACACAGTCATCAGATTTGGGACGGCCTCAGATGAAGTTTCT